CTCGCAGATTCCTATTTTTCGGATTTTTCAAAGTCCCAAGTTTTTGATGCTGGCTGGTTCTTGAAGAGTTTTTCGAGCAGTTCGCTCCGAGATATTTGTCAAGTTCGTAACCGCAAAACCCGTGCATTGTTGTGGTCCTGTGGTTCCTGATTCGAAAGAACATGACCTCTTTTCAAAAGCCAGGCCCGAGTCAAGCCAATGGATTCAGTCGTCTCGGCGAGTTTCCAGAGGTTTTTTTGAGAACCTCTGCACGACAAGGGCATTTCAAGCGTCGCGCGCCGAGGGCGGAAGCGCCTTTTAGAGGCGGTCACGCGGTCCAAGGCCGCCGTATCCGCAGCCTTGCCTCCAATAATCTATCGCCGAATTCAGCACAGAATCTATCCGGCTGCGCATCAAAATGAGGTTCCGGCGGTTGGGGTTTTGAACCTTTTCCGGTTGTTAAATCATGTCCTTCTTTGTTTTTTTGGGCTCTGCGGTTTATGAAATCTCATCCCCCGGTCCAAGCCCTCCTGAACCGCCACCCGAAGGTTTCGCAGCACCGAAAGGAGAGAAAAGTGGATCCCTTTTTGTGAAAAACAAAAAAAAACAACGAGAAAAGCACAAAAACCAAAAACAAAGCAAACAACGCTGACAACGCCATGGAGGCCACCCTGTTTGGTGCATTTCCATCTAGGTCCCCCAGCAATTGGTGCCCGACCTCTCACCGTTTCTTTTTTGGGAGGGTTGCCCTACTGAAATAGGCTACAGGAAAAGTTGCTGCCCTTATTCTAACCTCTCTACTGGAGGACCTAGCCATGGTAACGGGTAGAGGGGGTAGATTTCATCCGCCACGCCATCGTGGGTTTCGAGATTTGTCCAAGGCTCCTGTTAAAAGGTTTAGAGGGAACCAAAATGGAGCCCGTCATTTTGCGGGTGCCCCTATTTGAAGAGACTCCAGCACAGAGTTCTGCCATGTCTCAATTCAGCTTTCGCAGCTCTGATGGAATCGACAACTGGTCTTTTTGCGTCAGAATCATGTTAGTTGAAAAATAATCTCGTGCTGAACACAGGTAACCTGCTTCAATTCTGCACAGATTGAATCACAAAGCATGTTCGAGGAGCAGCAATGCAACGCACTGAATCATGCTAAGGAATCGAAGCACAAGCCCCCCTTCCCAGGAGACGGGTGAAGTTGGGCTTCATGAATTCCCCGTAGAGGGAATGGAGCCTTTTGGTGCGCTGAGGGAAGGGAAAGCTCGTCGCAGAGCACCTGGGGGAGAAGGATTGGTTTCAAAGTTTCGCGCTTTAGGCAGTGAGCAAAACAATGAAAGAAAGCACCGGCGCAGTTGCAAACACTCCGCTGCCCCTCAAGAGACAGATGGACTGTCCTCTTCGTGGTCCAGTTGCCACATTTGTTTCTGCCGAGCTGTTGCAAGATGGCTTTCGAAGATAGCTGACCTGCGTCTGTACAGATGCGTCTGCACGCCTGTTGAGGACCATCGGGTTGCTGACTCTCCGATTCGTTTCCGTCTCGCCGAAGGCCATAAAGTCCCTGGTCGAATCAAACTCCTTTTTTTGCGTGTTTTTTTTTCAAAACGGGACTCGTTTTGTGTGCTTGTTTTTCTTCTTCAAGACGGGGACTACCGCCTTTGTCCCGTGAGGGTGAATCCAAATGATCTACGAACCCCGACCTTCCAAGTTGGAGGAAGTCTCTCGGAGCTCGCGGCTGGCAAACATGACTCATGCTTCCCAAAAGATCGCGAACATGTCGGACATGAGCCCTCATGCAGGTCATGTGATCATGTCATGGTTGTTGTTGGGAAGCATTTTACGTATTTGTGCTTATTGCTTACCTCTTAAAAACACAACTTTTCTCAACTTGTTGGGTTTCATGGGCTATATGTATGTAAAAGATGAGAACTTCCCCAGGGCTTGGAGTTTTAAGGGGTAAGATTGTGGTTTAGTGGTTGAAATCCAACCACTTCACTGCCAAAATTTAATTTTTTGCTCCCCTTCCAACGCCTCCTTTTTTGGAAGTCCGTTCTTGTGGCATGTCTTTGACACATCGGATTTGTTCTTTTGGTATGAGGAGTGGACACAAAGGAAGTTTTGCTTGTCTTATGTCAGCGTCTGCTTTGGTTCTCGATGCCAGGCCAGCCGGGAGCTCTGCCAAAGGACCAGAAAAATATTGTATCTGCCTCTCTGGGTGTGTTGCTTTCTTTCAGCATCGGAGGTTTGGGGACCCCGAAAAGCGAAATAATACGCGCTCAGAGAGAAAGAAGACACACCCATATCTCGAACTCGCTCCCCTTTGAGGACACGAACTTACATGTTCTGCCACGGTCTCGGGGGAGCGGTTCATTTCCCAGCGCGTGCATAGCTTTTTGGCCGCAGAAAGAGCCCGGAGCCCTCCTGAGCTTCATGCGTTTCAAGACTTGGTCGTGCTGACCTGATTTGGTCAAGGACGAACCAACAAGTCCCACATCCGCGGTGTTGCCATATAGAGCACTGCACCAAAGTTGCATTCGCTCGTTTGTGGCCGCAAAGTCTTATCCAGCTCTCGGGCACAAAATGACTTCTTTGCTTACCCGCCCCTGTGCTTTGCCTTGGCTTTGATATGTCTGGTTTTGCTTGATCTTTGGATTTCTTGGATTCCTGGTATTAATGTGTGCAACTTTGCTTTTGATGTCTGGTTGGGGTGAGCTTGGCTTGTGTGGCCCCAATGGCCGACGACAGCCCAGTCCTGTACACAGGACGGGAGAGGCCCGCCCATGGTCTGACACGCCCTCAAAGAAACATGGCGACCGACCCAGAAAAAGCCTTCGCACAAGTGACTTTTACCCAAGGCAAGCCACTTGCAGTCAGTTTGACCATTCCCCAGCTCTGGTCCAAAGTCAAAGTCGTTTCCATTCGTTGCGCGGTGCTTCTGTCTTGGTTTGATTTGCCTCCTTGTGATATTTGGTCCAGTGAATTTTGATAGGGAACCACCTCAACAGTGATTGGGGGACATGAATCCCCACCGAATTTTGATGTCCACCGAAGGGTCCCTTATTACAGTTCATAGCCATTTGGTCCAGTGAACAGAACCACTGGGCGGGGCGATCCTGGAAGATTCCGACGGCTTGTACAGTTGCTGGCTGAGATCTGAGACGAAGCCCAAGGCGGGGGCGTCCCTTTTTGAGGGCGCCTTTTGGCAGGGGTTTCAGGAGACCCGAGTTGGACAGAAGCCCTCATTTTTTGGGGCAGTTGCGCTTCATTTGGGGGGGTCTATTCTTCAAACAGGAGTTGGTGTCCATTTCATCATATAGCTTTCCCGTCGAGCACCATCCATAACGCCTTCCAGCATCTTAGGGGAACCTCAACCGAATCAGATTGGATGACCACTCTGTTTAGGAACTGTATGGTATCCCCAGTTAAGGAGCCTTGAAAGTGTGATTTCCCCTACATATTTCCCAGCTAGGGAACTTATTGGAACATATTAAACAGGGATACCAACCACTATGGCAGTCTAGACGCAGCTAAAGATAAGCTTTCCCGCAGCGAGTCAGCACATTTCTCTTGCGTCTCTTGCGGTGGAACATAGTGCGCTTGGCCATCTGCTCTCGCTGCGTGGGAGTTGCCTGGGGGTCCAAGGGGTCCAAGGGGAATCAGAAATTGCGGTCCTGTCCGGTTTCACGCCGCTGCAAGCCCTGCTTGCTGGTGACTAAGATAAAAGAAGGGGGCCCCGCAAGAGGGAGTTCCTTGAATTTCTCGGCACTGGCAAGGCCTTGTTTTTTATTCCCCGAGTTAGCAAGGCCTTTTTTTCTAATTTGTTTATTTGTTCGAGTTCTTTTTTTAATTCCCCGAGTTCGCGTCATAGAGGACATGCTTTTTCGGAGACCTGACCAAACCGAGGGCCGCAAGGGACATCTCGGCGAAGCGGGTTTCAAACCGAAATGGGACCGGGATTTTCTTGGGGCGGGGAGCACCCGAAAACAAGGAACCTCCTCCTTTGCCGTTCTCAAGAAAATTGCATGGCGGTTCTTTTAGACGGGAAACACCACCAAGGGGGAAGCTGAGTCAACACTATGTGAAGCCCCGCCTGCAATAACCATGGGTTGACCCAAAAACCCTCTTTGACAGGGTCTTCTTTGTACAATGGAGGCCGCAAACTCCCAAGCAATGTATGAACCCCCCTAAGAATATACAAACCTGGCGGTTCCCAGCCGTCCGGTTGCATAGGTTTTTTGTTGCTTCTCGTTGGTTTCGTGGTTAGGTGATCCATTTGGGATCGGGAAACGCGGTCTGAACTTTTTGCCAGCCATCTCACGAGAGTCAAAGGTCTTGGCTCAGCTTTTGTGGAGTTGGTCGCTCTTTTTGGGCTGGTTTTGAAGGGGACCCAGGAGACCCAGCCATTGATCTATTTGTTTTTGTGTGTTACTCACTAGCCTGGCATCTTTGAGGTTACTCACTCCATTTATTGTTTTTGTTTTGGGGGGGCTACTCACTCGGCTTCAGGGTTGTGGGATCAAGAGGTTTATCCCCACTTCTGTGATACAAGTTGGAAGCTCCCTCTTTGTATGGGGGTTAGTCTTTGGGAAGCCCTTTCTGTTGTATCACAGAAGTGGCTGTGAGTCAAAACCAAAGGTACCATTTTGGGGTAGGTGCACCACCCATTTTTGTCTATTCTAGTGGGGATTGGGATGTTCACTAAAATACGGGATTTTAACCCATGACCAAGTGGATTCCATTTCCCACAGCCCTGCTGGGCTTCCTCTTGGCCTCCGGAGTTTTCAGCTTTCGCTTCGAAAGCTTCAGGCTATGACTTCCCCTTGGCTCACCAGGAGTGCGTGGGCTGGGCACAGGCGACTCGAAAATCGAAGCGACTCGATCGAAGCGAGTGTCCACATGTGACAATTCTGGGCACCCTCGTTTGGTTGATTTTTTAAAGGGAAGCCAAAAGAACACCACAACTTTTTGTTACACTTCATTTGGGGGGAACCCTCTTGTGCGAAACCATGTTACAATTCATCTGGGGGGAGCCCAGAAAAACGGAGATCAGCCCATAATCTACCCATGTAAAAGGGAGTTCACCCCATATTCTTTGGGCAAACACATATTTCACAGGACTTTGAAAGTCAGGTTAATGTTTTTTCTTATCCAAAAGAACACCAGCCTTCCCAAAAGGAGTCGAGCCACTCATCGGATGGTGGGTTCGAACCTCTCTTCCCGACATGGAGCTCGCCCAATGTTGGCCTCAAACAGCCAGCCTAGCATGAAAAAGGGAATTCAGCCCCATCGGTTTGGTGCAATAAGTCATGTTTAAGGGAACTTCGAATGAACCACCAACCATGTGCAAAGGGAGAACACCATGCAACTGGTACCCGGAAAGGGCAAAGCCAGGTTGTTTAATCATTTAAGCAGTTGCTTTTCATGGCGTTCAGGTGTTTCTTTCTCAAGATCTGGGGCCCCATCTTGCTCTGTTTGGGGATTCGACCGGGAAAAAACAACCATGTGCAAACACTAACAAAATTTGGGATTCCTCTTGGTTGGTTTGCTCTTGGCTTCCTTTGAACCCATCCAGACCTCGGGGTTTTGATTCGCTGGATCCAGGGCCTCCGTGCGTCCAGCGTCCCGGCCCGGCACCCGGAACGGTTTGTCGGAGAAAACTCGGTGCTTGATGATGTGTTTATTAACTTATGAATAGATTCTTTAATTTATTAGTTTATTGGTTTACTAATTTATCAAATAAATAAAATAAATAAATAAATAAATTAGTAAATTAATGAATTTATTAAGTGTTCATTTACGTATTAATTTATTAATTTATTAATCTCTCAATGTATTAGTTTATTAATTTGATTATTCATTTTTCCCCAACAGCTGAAAGCTTTGGGGTCTCAGCCCAGATAGGCTCCGGGGTGGTTCGGGGCGACCCTGAGCTAAGGTTCCACCAGGGTTCCACCAGGGGTTCCACCAGGGTTCCACCAGGGTTCCACCAGGGTTCCACCAGGGTTCCACCAGGGTTCCACCAGGGTTCCACCAGGGTTCTGGGCGGGGTGGTGGTCTGGGGTGGTTTGAGGTAAGGTTCCACGAGGGTTCCACCAGGGTTCCACCAATTTCTTCGAGGGCTGCGGGTTTGAGGAAGGTTTCACGAGGGTTCCGCCAGGGTTCCACCAGGGTTCCAGGCTGCGGGGTGGTCTGGGTGGTTTGAGGTAAGGTTCCACGAGGGTTCCACCAGGGCTTGGTCCGGGGTGGTTTGAGGTAAGGTTCAACGAGGGTTCAAAAAGGGTTCCAGCAATTTCTTCGAGGGCTGGGGTGGTCTGGTTTGAGGAAGGTTCCACGAGGGTTCCACCAGATTTCCACTAGAATTCTGCCAGAGGGCTGCAGGGTGGTCCGAGGTGGTTTGAGGTAAGGTTCCACGAGGGTTCCACCAGGTTTCCACCAGGGTTCCACCAGCCCGTCGTGCTCCGGACGAGGGTTCCACCACCAGGGTTCCACCAATTTCTTCGAGGGTGCGGCGCCTTGGATTCAGCACGATGGCTCCATCCGCCCCCGTGCGAGCCCTGGCGCCGCCGTCTGCGGCCTCTGTGATCTGTTGTCTCTGTCTCGCCCAACTTGCCATTCTTTTCTTAGGGGAACCGGCCATTTTTTTGGTCGGACGTTGGGTTGGCGCGCTGTGGTGCGCTTGCGGGGGGCTGGTGGGTGACACGAATAGAAAAGACTCCGCGACTTACCCAAATCACTTGTCCAAAACCGAGTTTTGAGAACTTAAAGCGCTCACATGTTATGCACGTATTTTTTGAGCATTTTTTGGGTTGAGTTGAGTTGGAACAGCCGGAGCATCTCTGTGATCTTTGCGTTGTCTTTGTAACTGCAGCAGTGCATGGATCCACATTTGAGGAGGTCAGCAAGGCTGCATGTCAGGGCCACGAGGCGAGATGCTTAGGCAGGCAAAGTAGGCAAGCATGGAGCACACACTTTTCAAAATCCCCCGGGGGCGGCAAGATGAGCGCCGGATGGTCAGGACATGCTAGAGGCTTTTTTCGTCACGTCTGTCATGTTTTTTTTGCCATCGCAGGAGGCGGCGACCAGGGCCAAGACTGGCAGTGGTGGGAGGGCACTTCCAACTCTCAGGAGACTGCTCGATGAGTTCGTGGGGGCATCGCACGCATTTTGTTGCGACACGAGGACACATGGGGAGGCCCCTGGAAGAAGGCTCATAGGCCTGTTACTGCTGCCTTTTTTGAAGCATTGCATCATCTCACCACTTGAAGGCCGCCATCAAAAATCAAGCGAGAGAAGGATTACAATTCCTCGGTGTTGTCATCGCTTTGGCTAGCGTGCACGCTCCTGGCTGGGCTGCAGGACGATGTGCGCAAAGAGCTGGCTGAGAAGGCAAGGCTTTTGCAGAGCGGGTTGATGGGGGTTGCTTGCACTTGACCCCAGGATGTGTTGATCAAGAAGATGGAGGAGGAGTTGAAGGCGGTGAAGGCGGAGAAGGAGCTGTGGTCGGTTTGTTTACTCTCTTGTTCTTGCTCTGCCACGGCAGGACGAGTTTCAGAAGAAGTTCCACGAGAAGGTCAGGGGACTTCCTTCCTTCTGGCCGGCCGTTAGTCATTGCCTTCTCCTGCCAGGCGGAGGACAGTGTCAGGAACTTGACGGGGTTGGAGGCGGAACGGAGATGGACGGCTTCGTTCAAGGAGCGCATGGATGTTGATTCTTGCTGTTTCATCTACGACCTAGCAGGCCGACCATGAGATCTTGCACCGGGAGAACGCGAGCCTCAGGAGCCAGGTCGCAAAGCTTGAGGTTGGAGAGTTGGCTCTTATGTGTCTTGATTCTTTTTTTTCCTGTGACAGGCTTTGGTCCCAGCCAGCAAACGGCCCAAGGCCCTCTTGGTTTGTAGTGTCTCTGCAGTTGCCCATGTTGTTGATTGACAGGTGGATTCATCGTCCACATCGACGAAAAAACCTACCAACTCCGGGGAAGGTTCCGCGGTTCTAGCAGGGTCCCACGAGGTGCGGGGTGGTCCAGGGTGGCTGCGGGGTGGTCCGGGGTGGTTTGAGGTAGGTTGTATGAGGGTTTCAGGGTTCCACAAGATTCTGCGAGGGCTGTGGGCCCTGAGGTTTCACAGGGTTCCACAAAGCTCTGCAAGGATTCCACACGGGTTCCACAAGGCTCCACAATGCTCCAGCAAGGGTGTGTCGTGCGCCCGTCGTCTGAAAAGCCATCGGATCAAGATCGCTTTGCTCATGGGCGGAACACTAAGCAAAACCGAAATCAACGGTTTTTATCACACTTTCACTGTTTTGTGACTTGCTCACTTGCTCAGGCAAATGTTGGCTTTGTGGCAAATCAGATCACGTCGCTGCGGAACTCACGGTGCAGCAGAGTAAATGCTTGGCATTGCTGCTTGGTGGGCTTTGGGTTCCAAGAATTCCACGAGGCTGCGAGGGCTATGAGGTCAGAAGGTTTCCACCAAATTCTGAAAAAGCTATGGGGCAGCCCTGAGGAAAGGCCACGAAAGTTGCGTGAGAACAGTTTGCGAGGTTCACCGGGCCTAGCAGTCGGGCCCCGTCAATTGTACCAAGCTGGCATCGCCTAGTTTTGCTATAGATACAGTTGCAATCCGCATACTAAGGAAAACCGGCGTTGAGCTATAATATGGGTGGCTGGGGTTGCACCACGGGACGGTCGGGGCCCGATTGCACCGTCGGGCCCACCGTCGGGCCCCGATCGGGCCCCGATTGCGCCGTCGGGCCCCGATCGGGCCCCGATTGCGCCGTCGGGCCCCGACTCAGGGCCCCGTGAATTGTACCAAGCTGGCATCGCCTAGTTTTGCGTTTGATACAGTTGCAATCCGCATGCTAAGGAAAACCGGCGTTGAGCTATAATATGGGTGGTTGGGGTTGCACCACGGGACGATCGGGGCCCGATTGCACCGTCGGGCCCCGATCGGGCGGATTCCCTCAAAGGAAACCATAGAAAATTGTTTATAAGGGTCATTTCCTCATTCCCTACTGAGCACCAGCAAGTCTTTTGAGGAAACGGACAAGTGAGTTCAACCATTTTTTTGGGGCCCCAAATCCTAAAGAAAGACACGAAAATGGCTAGGACTTGTCAGGGCTGGCTCCCAGCCATCCCATCTGGTCCCTTAGTTTTGTTGATTTCGGTTGGTGATATTTTGGCCCTTTTTGGTTGGTTTTTGTTGATTTTTGGCCCTTGTTGGTTGGGTTTCCATATTTCACCAAGTGTTCAACTTTAAGCAAATGCTCTGGATGGTTGCCGAATCTATCTCGCACCACCTTGGAAAGTAGAAACCGCTGTTATCATTGTTTGTTACGGTATTGCAGGAAAATCGAACCATTCCGTTGGGTTTCTGAACGTTGGTGCGATTTCTGGATTTCGCGTCCATCCACTTTCGTTGTGACATCGTAATGTAGACACTCCCATGATTTTGAGGACTTCTAGATTGCAAACAAGGACTTTCAGGTGGCTCAAACGAGCGGGGGCTTTTGTTTTGGTCGCATCGGACCACATTTTAAGCCTAGACATAATGTTTTGGCCAAAAACGAGCGGCGCCAATTTTCGTCTCATATTGGATCCCCTTTTGAAGCCAAAACACTTTTTCCTCAAGGGGTTCAACATGAGCGGCGGCTTGTTGATTTTTGTCGTATTGGACCCCATCTTAAGAGACGCACGGCACTTCGGCTTAGCGGCTAGCGCGTATTTTCGGTTGTAGCCCGTGGTTTGTGTGGAACCCCCTCTTGGCGTGCGTGTGCGTTTTGTGTTTTGCTTGTTTCACCTACCGGCTGGAAGCTATTGGGTCTCTCTGGAGTGGCTTGGAGCGGTATTGGGGAAGGGTTCCAGAAGAGTTCCGCCTGCGTGTTTGTGTGCTCTTTTTTACAACCACATTTCGGGCATGTTCTGCCCCTTTAGGCATCTTGCCGTCTCACTGGGTCTGTCTCCTTTTGAGCCTCACAGGGATCTTTGTTTGGTTTTAAAGGGAAGCCACGAAGAGTACCACCACTTTGGAGGCTCCCCTCAAAGAGACACCCAGGTGGAGATGACCGGCCAAGTCGCTCAGGTGTATAACTAATTTGCCTCCGGACCCCTCTCAAATTCTAACCCCTCAACTCTGGACCCCAGGATGAGAAGAAAGAAAAAGCGACCATGGGGGGACCCCAGGCCCGCAGACTCCATATGGAAGACCCCAACACTTTTGCCCACTTCCAGACCCCAAGCCACTGGCCGCAGGCCCTGGGGCTTGCTTTTGATAAAGCCGTTCCTGACCTTTTTTGGGTGGGAAAAAAAAAACCCTTGCCGACGGAAGTGGGTTTTTTTGTTCTCCTTTCTTCTTTCTTCGCAGTTCCTGGCCTTTTTTGGGCGGGAAAAGCCCCTTACCAACGGAATCGCCGACGGGGACAAACATGCCACACGAAAAAGCCGGCAGGTGATTTGCAGGCCCTGCCAGAACTAGATACTGGAATTTATTCCTCGGTTTGGACCAATGGTCAAACTTTGGGATAAACATAAAAATAATAATGATAAAACAAAAAAAACACATCCAAAAAACAAAAACACAAAAACACACAAAAATGCGCCCCACCATCAAGGAGGTCCGTTTCGCCCCCAGACCAGGTCGCCTCTGGTGGTTTCCCCAGCTCGGAGGGTGCCCGGGTCTTCGCCCCGTCTTCGCCCCGTCGCCCCGCGACGCCCAGGGCTCGAGATCCACGCTGGAGGTGCGGCTCGTAAGTTTCGAAGCGGGCGAAGTCGTGGGTGGACCCCTTGGGTTCAACACATCCCGCGAAAAATGGGGTGATGGCCCCAAGAAATATAGGTGGTGCCTGCTCCAACTTTTTTTTTGGACCAGGTACGTATCAAGGATAAGCGCAGTGGAGTTATCATGTTGGGTGAAAGATGCTGCATCTCCCCAAAGGCTTTCTTAGGTCCTTTTGCGACCAAAAGGAACAGTGCGATCTACTACCTTCTCAAAATGGGTGTGGCTCAAAAATAAAGAGCTGGGGTTACGCGGGTTTTAGTCTTTGGTTCCATTTACCAAGGTGCCAGTTTGGTACATGTTTTTGAGCCACAGCCGTATTGTTTCCAAACCACGTGTCACCCTGTGTTTCATCCAAGGGTCCGAGGAACACCCCGAACCATAGCTGAAAGAGCCGCGCACCCTGGCGGCCAGCTTCCGAGAAGGTCAGTTTTTCGGTTTTCCCGGGCGTTTGGGCTCAAACTTTCGAAGGTTCAGCTAACGGACATGTGTATCCGAAAGGAACCCATGGAACTCGGAATGTGCTTCGAGCTTCGCTGTCTGGCTCCTCAGGTTTTTAAGTTTTAGCAGGGGTGTCCATTTCACCCAGAAGTGAACAACTTTGAGCGGGGCTGGAGCTGCATTTGCATGTTTGGGTGTGTTCTCGCACCATGATTCTTTGTGGAGGTCCGATTCTAGCAATTTTCCCAGTCGCGAGAAGCTGCAGCTGGGTTTTAGATGCTCGAGGCTGGATGCAAAGACTTGGTGGCTCCCAGCCATCCGGCTTAGCTTCTAGCCTAGTGAAATTTTGGGGGGTTTTTCCATGTAGCCCACGAAAAGTTAGTCACTTTTAGCGGGGGATCTGAAAACGGCCAGCCTGGAAGCGGAAAACAACTCTGGGAGAAGGCCAGCACCTTTTCTCGGTCCTGTCACGCCTTGCCCTTTGATCACAGGGATGCTGGCTGGACACCGCGGAAGGGTATGTTGACCTTGGGATAGTCCATAAGTAAGGGAGGTTGCTTTGGATGTTTGGATTAATTCAAAGGTTTTGGAGATTGCAACGTGGCCGTGTGTGGTTTGTCTCAACTTTGTTTGAAATGCTTGGGAGCGACTTAGGGAAGAGACTGTTTTTCATGTGCAAAACTCTGCTTTTCCCGCTTTCCTTTTTGTTTTTCTCCGTGCTGGTTTGCAGATGTATCAAGAGGAGAGCGCTTGGATAGGGTCCTTAGGGGTGTCCCGGGTCTGTTTGGACCAAGGCTTCCGCTCGGAACGCGCGCGTTGTGACGGCTGTGTTGCTCTTCGGACATAACACATGGGCTTAATTTGTCTTATATGTATATATATATACATGCACACAAAGACGTTGTCCTCCTCTCCAGCACTCATGGAAGCTGCCAGGAGGATATCCTTTTGGGAAAAGGGGCTAACCGGACATGTGGCTGTGGCTCAAAATTAATTAGCTGGGGCAAACAGCAGGACTTAGCCGTATTCCATTTTTTAAATCCATATTGAGAAAAGGAACCCAGGCAACATGGATGGTGCTTTACTGTGGATGGACGAAATCCAGAAACCCTGGAATGATTTGACTCCCCCATACCGCAACACACCTTCGGGTGTCCTTGCCATGGTTTCATTTTAGTGCGCGAGAAGCGGCTGACTTGCGAAATCATCCACAGCTATGGAGAAGCGAACAGACGCGGCCAGGTTCGGCGCCAACTTGGGACCGCGAAAGGCGCCCCGTTTCTTGGCGTGCTCGCGTTTGTCAGGGCGGTTTCCAGCGAATCGTCCGGTTCCTTAGGTTGTTGGTTGTTTCTGATTGGTCTAGTGGTTGGGGTTGCCATCAAAAAACGGGCAGCCCAGTTTTGTCAGGGAAGTTCCCTGTGGACCAAACGTGGCGTTTGTTTATCTGGAAGCCACCAGTAAACTCGCAGACACCCCTTTTGCTTGCTGAGTCGGGGATGGGATGAGAGCCCTGCCTCGCTTCTTGTGGGTAGAGAAACCACTCCCTCACCACCAATAAGCAGCAATTGGAGGGCAAATTTTGGCCAATTCAAAGCGAGTTTGCAATTTTTAGCGGGTTTATGGTTGCATCTCCTCGGTTTTGCTTGATGTAGGGATCCTTTCCGTGGCTGCTTCATACTTTGTTGTGGGGCCAAGGACCATTGATGTTCGTGACGGCTCTCCTTGCTTGAATCCGACGCTCGCCGGGCTCAAGAGGAGGGTTTCTATGGGATCCATGTCATTTCCGTACAAGTTCCGTCTTTGTGTGGTGCCACCCAAAACAGACTCCGAGCAGCGATCGAAGCTTTCGCCAATGATTCAGCAGCTCAGCAAAGGACCAAACAAATGTTTGAAATTCGGATTTCTACGCCGTGTTCCGGCGTTTCTCTTCTTTTTCTGGGGGGAGTTTTGGGGCCGGGGACCAGTTTTCTCGTGGCGTCGGCGCGATGGGGACCTTCGAGGGCGTCATCAAGTCCTTCAACCCTCAGTGGCTCGGAGGAACGTCTCAAGTCCGGGCCGCGGGCGCGGGTGGTGGGGGTGGGCTGAATCTGCAGGTGGCTGTTTTGGTGTATTTAGATCAGATAAATAATGGACCTGTATGACTTACTTTTATTGTTGCAATGTGTATTATGTGGCTTCCAATAACATTATTATGTGGTGACGGTGAATGTAAATGATACAAGTAATGGGGGGGGTGGGGTGGATGGGGTGGGGGGTGTGGGGTGGGGGGCCTTGGTAGGGGGTGGGGTGTTGGGGGTGGTGGTGGGTGGGGGTGGGGTGGGGGGTGTGGGGTTGGGGGGGGTGGGGTGTTGGGGGGGGTGGGGGGGGTGGGGTGGGGGGCCTTGGCAGGGTGGGGTGGGGGGGTGGTGGGGGGTGGGGTGTTGGGGGGTGTGGGGGGTGTGGGGTGGGGGGGCCTTGGGGGGGGTGGGGTGTTGCGGGGGGGTGGTGGGGGGGGTGGTGGGTGGGGTGGGGTGGGGGGCTTTGAAGGTGGTGGGGTGTTGGGGGGGTGGTGGGGTGGGGTGGGGGGTGTGGGGTGGGGGCCTTGGGGGGGTGTAGGTCCCTGAATCTATCCCACAAGAGAAACCTCGGATGTCCTTTAGTCGGATGTCCTGGCTTGTTGTAGTGTAATCGCCAATGAATCAATAAGTGGTCCGCCAGTCCATTTCCTGCAAGCTATACCATAGGATGGTAATGCTATGTACAATGAACGGGCCTTGAGCCAATATGCATATATACAAGTTTATTGCTTATTGATAGGGTGGAATCAACATGTGAGCCTTCGCCAAAAAGCACATTGACCTGGGCACAACGAAGAAACAATAGTAACCTCCCGATGGACATGTTGAGACTTCAGCTCATGCCAGGTTGCGCCAGGCCCACTTCCCTCACACGCCTCGCTTGACGCAACTGAGGGAAACTGTTGCAGCGGCTTGGAGCGAATTTTCAGGGGTTCGAAAGTTCCTTTTGCGAGCCATTTACCCCTGTCACCCAGTCGTGTGGATGGACAAACATATTTACACCAGTTGGTAGGCGGCTCACAGTATTCAAATCGGGTTTCATCCGTCACTGGAGGCAAGCGTGGGTTTTGTCCGTCCACACCCATGCTGCTTCATAACGTATCCCCCAACAATCCCAACACCTCCCCCTTTGCCAGTACAAGGAAGATGGATGGATGGGGGTAGGCCACCTTTGCAACCAGTGCAACCAGTCGGTGGGGATGTCCATCAAATTGCGGCAACCTGAACCGAGGTTTCTCGGAGACCTTGTGCCAGCGCCTGGTCGGCCCGCTTCCCGCGGCTTGCCTCAACTGCCCGGCAACTCGACAGCCAGAGAAGCAGAGACAGCGTCAAGCGGCAGAGGTCCCTTATACGGGATATGTGCTGCTTTCAATGCCGGAGTATCGGTCTGCCCTCAAGACGAGGTGCATTCGACGACCCGGCAAATGCGCCATCACGGTCTTTACCATGCGACCTGATAAGGTCTGCAGGGGGGAGATTGAAATCGGCTTGGAAGGTGCAAAGGTGCCATTCCTCAAGCTCCCGAGCCCTAACAATGAGGGCGAGTTTTACGTTGACGAACGCACCGCGTACATGGACAAGCGACATGTTGTCGTGGCAATCGACCTAAAATGGTTGGCCATTGAGGATGCCGCAAACATCTATAAAACCCGACGCGGTTTTATTGCTGTGCGCGAGGAAATTCATGCGCCGTTCTGGCGCGCATGTTATTTGCACCAGGAAGGGGATGTTATCTACATCCGACCTTGGGCGATCCAAACTTTGAATGCCCCGGGCCCGCAGAGAGGGGAGTCATTTGCCTGGGACAAATCTCCCATGCACGACTATTGGTGCCCTCGATGCGCACATTTGAATATGTATGGCACCATTCTATGCAATGGTTGTCATTTGCCGATATTTTATCGGGAATGGGTGCCAGGTACCTTTCGCTCTCGCATAAGGCGAGGGCAGCCGGCATGGTTGGACGAACTCAAGGCAGTCAGGCCCAACAGCTGGTATCATGGGGAAACAAGTATCTGGGCTCCTCTCATGGCATCGGTAAACCCGATCCGTGAGGTGGTCAGCTGCATGATCTCCGGTCTGCGCTGTGCGCCTTACCTCGTGCACAATCCCAATGCGGATACTGCACAGGTGGCATTTCAAGAGGTTGAGAACATCACCTCGAAAGACACTCACTCGTGCGTGCGAGTGAGTGACGAAGCACTCGAACGGTGGGTAACGAAACAGCTGCTCATCGAGGAAAGTGAGACTGGAAACCCAGTCCCTGAGGGCTTGACCGTGCTCGCGTATTTGGTCAACCACCCACAACACGCGGCGCAGTGGGGCCGTCACATGACGAAGAAAGGCAGTCTAAATTCAGCCTTTGCTTTTTACCTCTCTGTATATATGTATGATGCGTATCGCCTCGCGGTCGAGGATGGATATCTGGTCCCACTGTATGGCCTAAGCGCCTCACGTGAACCCCAGGCCTCTCTTTCTCTCTCTCTCTCTCTCTCTCTCTCTCTCTCTCTCTCTCTCTCTCTCTCTCTCTCTCTCTCTCGCTCTCTCTCTCTCTCTCTCTCTCTCTCTCTCTCTCTCACTCTCTCTCACTCGCTCTCACTCGCTCTCACTCGCTCTCACTCGCTCTCGCTCCCTCTCTGTCACTCGCTCTCACTTGCTCTCACTGACACTCACTCACTCTCACTCACACTCACTCACTCTCACCCACTCTCACTCACTCTCATTCACTCTCAGTCACTCACTCACTCGCACTCACTCTCACTCTCTCACTCTCTCTCTCTCTCTCTCTCTCTCTCTCTCTCTCTCCCTCCCTCCCTCCCTCCTCTCCCTCCCTCCCTCCCTCTCTCTCTCCCTCTCTTCTCTCCTCTCTCTCTCTTCTCTTCTCTCTTTCTCCTCTTTCTCTCTTTCTCTCTTTCTCTCTTTCTCTCTTCTCTCTTACTCTCTCTCTTTCTCTCTTTCTTTCTCTCTCTCTCTTCTCTCTCTCTCTCTCTCTTTCTCTCTTCCTCTCTTTCTCTCTTTCTCTCTTTCTCTCTTCTCTCTCTTTCTCTTTCTCCTCTTTCTCTTCTTTCTCTCTTTTCTCTCTTTCTCTTTTCTTCTTCTCTCTTTCTCTCTTTCCTCTCTTTCTCTCTCTTTCTCTCTTCTCTCTCTTCTCTCTCTTCCTCTCTTTCTCCTTCTCCCTTTCTCCTCCTCCCTCCCTCCCTCCCTCCCTCCTCCCTCTCCTCTCTCTCTCTCTCTCTCTCTCTCTCCTCTCCCTCTCTCTCTCTCTCTCTCTCTCTCTCTCTCTCTCTCTCTCTCTCTCTCTCTCTCTCTCTCTCTCTCTCTCTCTCTCTAAGAGAGGCGAGTGGATGTACCATCACGACTTTATCCACGATATGGGGTTTCCGAAGATTCATAGGAACAGTTCTACATCCCATGGTCAAATCGGCATCCAGGAATTTATCAAGCTCCCACACAAGCATTTTACCGCTCCACCTCATCCCACTCTCAAGTTCGTACCCTGAGGGTTTGAAATGCGCGTAGGCCCCGAGTATGTAGCGTGGGGGGGTTTTGGGGGGGTGGTGGGTGGTTGGGGTGGGGTGGGGGGTGGGGGGTCTTGGGGGGGGCGGGGGGTGGGGGGTGTGGGGGTGGGGGGCCTTGGGGGGGGTGGGGTGTTGGGGGGGGGGGGTGGTGGTGGGGGGGTGGGGTCCCGGACCACCTGGGCTTTTTTCTTTTTAGTTGGGTGTTTACCCCACAAGTGCAACGCTCAGATCAGCAAACCGGCAGCCGGCAGCCCAGTGAAGTTAGGAGAACTTCCGTCGGAACGTGTGAGGAAGGGCTGGGGCTTTATCACCAGCCCTGAGGCTGGAGGCGCGGGAGAGGTGCTTGACTCAAAGGCTCTGCCCTCGCGCCAGGGATGGGGGGGGGTATTTTCTTTAGTCGAAGGGGTTTCGTATTACACCTTGGGAATACACCCACTGGGTATTGACCCCATTTAGGCGCATTCCAGGATAAAACCGTGTTATTTTGAACCATTCTGGGTCAGTTCGCAAGGGTGTAATCCCAGGGTGTGATACAAAAACCCTCAGGGTAGGCACTGATCTTGGCGGCTCCGATATCCATCCGGCGCAACTTGGCTTTTTGGATGGTTTTAGTCCGGTCCTTTTAGATCCTTTTAGTTGGTTTAGTGGTTGGGCTTCCGTATTTGAAGCCCACCAAAAGTTATTCAAACTTTCAGCAGACCCGAAAAACGGGACAGCCCAGTCGTGAGGTCAGATCGCTCCCCGCGTGGCAGGCGATTTGCTCTTGCTACGCACGGAGCTGGGGAGCTATGCCGTGTCGCCCGGTGACAAGGCGGGCTGGTCGGGCTGGTCCTGGTCGTTTCCGTCGGGCCCAGCACCTCGCAGGGTTCGGGGGTTGCTTGGGTGTGCGATGCGCCAAGTTAGTCAGTTCTTGGCAATGTTAACCCCAGATTAATAAACCCCTGGTTGATTAATAGGGGGGTGTCCCCTTTTAGTGCGATTCATCACTTTTGGAGGGAAGGAACACCCCCCCAATAATTAATGGGACAGGTGTATTAATCCTGGGTCAACATTAACAATTCGGTTAGAACCCACTGAAGTAAGCCCCCGTTCGGTGAAGCTAACCTTGTTAGTGGGTTGTAAAACACTTGCTAACTTGGCCGCACATCCAAGTACCCTTCTGTGGCCAAGAACGGCCTCGGTTGGGCATCTGAGCAGCGTTGTAGATTCCCGATCTTGAAGTGTTTAGACAGACTGTTGGTTGCTTTTTGCGTTTGTTCATTCTAGTAGGGGGCTGCAAAACACAGCCAGTGTTTTGCTACCATACCAAGGGTTGTACCGTGATAGAACCATATTCTTCAGTTTCTATCGGGAAGCCATTGCAAAAGAAAATATATACTATGTTGTTTGTGTTCGTGTAGCTGATGCATGTGCGCTGTTTTTGAAAAGGAAGGGCCTTTGGCTCAGCAGGAAACCGCCCAGCTTGTTGGCCGAAACCTGTTATGATCGCTCCGAACGTCCGATCGGCACAAGGGTAGAAGATTGGAAATTGACCAGCTCACCCTTCCAAGTCTCTAGGTGAGCCACAGGAATGCCTCTAACTCTATTTCTGTCTAAAGATGGATCCGCTTCAATCAAACCTGTTTTGGGTGTGGCAAAAGGTGGACAGCCAGGGGTGGTTGACATATATCCATGCTTCTATCCTACGAAGGGTTTCTTCAGCCCGGTGTTTGGAGGTGCTCCCGGGGGCGGAAGATCCGGGGACCGCGAAAAAGGGGAAAAAACAATCTGACTCCGAAAACCACCCAATTCGGCTGGGTGTTTTTCCTTTTCGAAGGGCTTTGGGGTGGGGTTTTAGAGGGAAGCCAAAGGTGGGGACCTCATTGGAGGAAAGCTGTTGGGGTTTGCGGCAGCAAGATGAATTGCACTCGTCGCTTACCCCGTTTTTCCAGCAATAGAAGTGAACTATGCGAAGATGGACGCCTTCCAAAACCTGGTGTATCCAGGATTGTGAGAAAGACGGCAACAGAGCGGTTGTTCATTGTTTCTCACGAGCGGAGGCAGGTGTGAGTTCTCCTTAAAAGAGCGGTCGACACCGGTCGACACGGGGATCGCAAGCAGCCAGCCAACTAGGGTGACAGCCTGTAACATGTGAAAATCAATGCTTAATCAACCTTTATTTGCGCATGGGTCAAAATCAATCCAGGGGACGGCCGGCTTTTGTCCATGTTTCCATTTCCAGGACCTATTTGTGACACAGCCATTTGGTTTCTCTTTGAAACGAACCGGCTCAGCTCTTGCTTGCGAGGCGAACTCGCTTGCTGGGGTATGGGTGCGTCTTGAGTCGGCGTGGGGTGGTTCTTAAGCGAAGCCAACAGGCCCCTGAATTTTGAGCAGCCATCTTGACTTGTTGGTGGCCCGGATTTTAGGCGAGGTTGCGAAATCCATGTCGAACCACCACGGCAATCAGAAGCCCAACGGTATCATATAATTGACCAGCGTAAATACCAACAAGAACTTTGTGGTTCCAACCATGGTATCTTGGTGCGAAATGGATTTCGCAGCCATCCACAGCAGGGGACCCACCAAGTGGCTTTCCTTTCACTTTAAAACCACCCCAACAAAGGGTACTCTCCAACAAAGAAGTCACCCTGGAGTCTCCATGACCACACATGAACACGGGCCACTCAGAAGAAATGAAAATGGGGGAACCGGCTATTCTTGTTTGGACAAAAACACATGGGTCCATTTTTTTTTCTTCTCGAGTTGGTACCTTTTTGTTGGGTGGTCTAAAAGAGAGACACCAGAGGGGCACCTCCCATTTTGGAGGGACCGGTCCTCAAAAACAAACAGAGATAGACCCTCCGAATTCCAACTTGAACATATCGCCTCCCAACCTCATGGGGTGACTTCCAACTCTCTTTTTTTTCGGGTAGCCCGAGGGTCCAGGCAGCCATTTGGAGACCCATCAGGGATTTTGCTCGTCCGGTTTCGCCCCGTGGCTCGGAAAGCTTGGCGCGCAGGGAATGAGCTGGGAGTGACCCAGCCATAAACCATCCAACTGGTGGTATCCTTTCAGGGCACCAAAGTCTGGGTTCATCCCACTGCCCCATTTTGAAACTCCAACCTTAAGACACAAACACCCATTTTTTGAGTGGTTCTTTCTGGAGCAATTCCGAAACCCTCTGGTGGGGATGGTGATCCCTATACGCCATCCTATGGTTTCCTTTCAGCGCGAAGATTCCCGCAGCGCCGGACACCTCGCCGCCGGACGCCTCGGCCGCCGCGAGGCCACCTTCACGGCGAAGCAGACGCCCAAGGGCCTGCAAGCCACCGACGTGCGGATCCTGCCCGCGGAGGAGCCGGATCCATCGCTCGCGGGTTTCGGCCGCTGCGATTCTTTCGGGGTTTCGGGCCGAAATCATTTGGTTTCGGGTGTCGGGTTTCGGGTGTAGGGTTGAGGGCCTTTTGCACTTCCATGTTAGTTGGCGGGAGGGTTCCTTAGACTAGGTCCCCCGGCTGCCAACTTTTACCCTTTCTTTTTCGGTTGGGAGATTCGGTTCCCGAACTAAAATAGACAAAGAAGAAAGAACAGTTACCTTGGTTTTACATCCATGCAAGCAGTGTTTCAAGCAAAAAGCATGTGATGTTCTTTGGTGCAAGTTTGGTGCGGGGTCTTGAGCCCGGTCTTCCCTTTTGCAACTCATTCTTTCCGGTCAAATCCGGAGGAAGGTTTCGGGTTTCGGGTGAGCCCCGGGCCCGTTTCGAAGGGAGCCATGTGGGCTCTAGCCGATAGAGTCCTAGAGAGCCAAGTTGCGGGTGCGATCTTTTTTCAGTCACTCAAGTCTTGCGATCGGTGGATAGGGGTAAAGTGGATGGATAAAAAACAATCTGGTCGCAACTGGATCGATCCGGGTGTCCTGGTTCTTAGGTTCGACTCCGAAAGGTTGGGATTTTTTTGGTTTGTGACCCTGGGGGAAGGCGGGGGTGGATGTTCAAGCTTCATGAAGAGGGCTGTGTCCAATCATTCGGGGACCCCCCTAAGATGGGTGGGTTTTTTTTTTCTCCTTTTTTTCTTTTCGGGTTCTTATTTTAAAACCACCAAAGAAGGGGCACCCTAAAAAGGACAGACGATTTGGGGTCTGGAGAACCCAAGACGATGAATGTTTGGGGTCTCAAGAATGAATTTGACAGTATGATCAAATCTGTGTACAGATTTGCAAACCCACAATTTGGGCCTCCCACGGGTGGTTTACCATTGGCTCCTATACAAAGAAGATTGTGGACATGAATCTGTGCAAGTTATAACGAGCGATCAGCCACTCGTTAAGAAAGGCATCCCGCAGCAGGATGCACGCAAACAGGCACATTTGCCGAGAAGTGCTCGTGTTTTTGTTGCCGTCTCTCTTTTTTGTGGGCACTGCGCACTGCAAACACGGGTACGCCACGACCGCCTGGCGTCCGATGCAAGATGTTGCATGAGGCGCAAGCATCAGAGAGTTGGATTTCGGGACCCATTTGTGATCGAACCCATCCAACGGGTCGCCCAATCACATGCCGGGTCAGAACGTTTTAGCCTCCCTTCCACTAACATGGCACCTGACAGGGGGTCCCTTGAGGAAATGGCTCGTTCTGGTATTTCACGAATGCCAGTGGGAGGAATATTTGTTACTTCTCCCTGGCCCTGCTCCCCATCTGAAGCGTGACAAGTGCCCGTCTGGGGATGCCCGGGTCCCGAACTGACTCTTAAGTGATTGGTATTTGTTCTTTGCATTTTGCCAAGGGATGTTATAAGGACTAACAAATTGTTTGCCCACTAGTGGTTTTTTTCTGCATTAAACCGCTAAAACATGGTAGTTGTTGGGAAGCATTGGACACATTTTTGCTTATTGTGGTTTAGTGGTTGAGATCTTCAGATTTGGCGCCCGGATGGCAAGTTTTGCATTGCCCCATATGAACAATTTGTCAGCGGCCGGCCAAGCCCAGATCCAGGATTTTGATGAAGAAGCAAGTAGCCACAAATCTTGAAACCCCCTGACCCAACGTCAAGCAAGTGCTGAGTCCCCAGGGCCGTTTGTAGCCGCGCTTTTCGGGGGGACGTGGGCAAGGGGAGGTAAGAGGGTGAGCTTCTCGCGTCAGGAAGTACGGACGGGTTCGAGTGGCCAAAAGTCCAAAGGTTGGTTTGAAGTCCAGAGGCTCAGGAAGTGAGATGGCTCCACCTCATATGGTGCGCATGCGTACGCGCGCGCGCGCGCGTGCGTGCGTGTTTGTTTGTTTGTTTGTTTGTTTGTTTGTTTGTTTGTTTGTTTGTTTTGCTTGCTTGCTTGCATGCTTGCTTGTTTGTTTGTTTGTTTGTTTGTTTGTTTGTTTGTTTGTTTTTTTGTTTGTTTGGGTGTGTCTTTTATGAGAGCACTCAATGTCTATGTTTTTTTTTGGGGAAACCAGAAGGACAACCGTCATTTTGGGGGTCCAATTCAAAAAAACGATGCCGATTTCTACCCTTGCAAGTTCCTTCCTTTGAAACTCGTTCCTTCCCCAGCTTGCTGAAACCTTCGTGCCGTTCAACCAGGTTGCAGCCTGGTTACCTACAGAAACGTGGCCGTGTCTTTGTGGGGGTTGCAGCCTGGTTCATCTCGAAAGTGGGTGTGGTCTTTTGAAAAGACCCTGTCAAACGAGGGGGAAGCCGACCAAAACCAACCCGACGCAGGGGCACCCCCTCAAAGCTTGCAACATGGAGGTGAAAAGAGGAACAATCCCACAAGTGGGTAACCAGACCCTCCAAAAGACCCCCCCAAAAAAACCAAAACAACCCTCCAAAAGACCCCCAAATGGTTACCTACAAAGTGGGTGTGTCTTCTTGGAGGGCTCCCCCTCCAGGGCAACAGGTGGGTGAGGAGAAAACCCCCCAAACTTTGGTGCCCGGATCGATCCAGTTGCGCTTTTGTTCCATGCACAAAAACCCCAAACAAATCAGCCAGAGTGACTGAAAAAAAAGGCGATCGCAACTGGGCTATCCAGGAATTGGGTGGTCCCCAGCCGTCCCCTTCTCGCATTCTATGAGTGGGTGGGTTTCCATATTTAAGCCACAAGGTTAAACCGCTTGTAGCAGATCAGAAAACGGACAGCCCAGGATGGTCTTTCGACAACTTCCTGCACACATGGATTGGAACGAGGGTCAGCAGACATGTCCAAAACCAGATGTTTGGAGGTTCAAACTCTCTTGTCTTGGTGCTGCCCAGCCATCCCATTCCTTCCATTTGCTGAAGAATAGTTGTTTTCAGAAAAAGAACATATTTTCCCTTGTTGGTTTTAAAGGCAATCGATCACTATTGGACATATTTTTGTTTTTTCCCGGGGGCTTCAGCAAATGGAAGAGTCGGTGTTTGTTTTTTTGGTTTATTTGGGGTTAAAGGGCGTTACCTGCCTTGGGGCTATTCAGAAACCCCTCGGTTTGGAGCACCAGGATGGCACCATGTCCTTTGTGGGCACCGTGAAATCCTTCAACCCAGAGAAGGCGGGGGAACCGGCGCGACGCATCGAAGCGCTTAGCGCCGCACGGCTTTCGGGGCACCCGCGCCCTTTGAGAGGGCTCCTTAAAAGAAATTCATTTTGCAACCATTTGAAACATGTGTTTTTTTCCACACCAAAATAAAGTTGGAACCCAGCATTTACAAGGCGATGTTCAGGTGTATAATGTCAGGATCCCTGTTTGAGAGTGATGGATCAATGAATCCAGGTGGAAGCATGACACTACCCATATCTGTGGATGGCTGCGAAATGCTGCATCCCTCAAGAAGCCCTGGAATGATTTGATTTCCCTGTAAACTCCAAACCATGGTTGCCTATGAGTTCACAGTGGTGCAGGATTTCGCCCATCCACAGTGTCTGTGGATGGCTGCAAAATCCACTTCGCACCACAACCATGGTTGAAACCACCAGGTGTGTTGGTATTTACGTTGGGGAATCGAATCATTCCAAGGTTTCTGAACGTTGGTGCAAAATGGATTTCGCAACCATCCCCAGTATGAAAGGGATTTCAACCATCCCTTGGTGGCTCCCAGCCATCCCCTTAGCCTTTTAGCTTTTTAGCGTTAAGTGGTAGTTGTCATTTGACCCTTCAGCGGGGGATCTGAGGGCAGCTCAGATCAGTTTGGGTGGCACTCGCCCAGTTTTAAGTTGGAATTTCGAGAGGTCCAGGTGGCTTCTTTGGGAAACCAGAAGGAAAAACCTTTGGTTGGTGCGAAAACAATTGCATTTCCAGTGGATGAATTCAGGAGACAATGGTTTTTGGTCGTTTTTGTTTGATTCGAACAATGAAACCGCACTCCGCCTTGTCCGTGGGGGGATTCCGACCTGTTTTGCTCGGGGAAAAAATGTTCGGTGCATCAGCTCGCGCGAATGTGCGCGGGGGAGCTTCAGGATCAGACATACTGTGGATGGTTCAGAAAATCCTGGAACAGGGTTGTGGGATCAAGGATTTTTCCCCACTTCTGTGATACAAGTTGGAATCTCCCCCGTTATGTGGTGGGTTAGTCTCAAGCGCTTATTGTTGTATCACAGAAGTGGTCATTTCCAACAGCCCTGTCCTGGAATGATTCGATTTCACTGTAAATACAAACAAACCTTCGTGGAGGCTGGGGGGAGGGAGGGGGGGGTGGAGAGCCCCTAATAAGGCCTCATTTGGGGCTTATTGGGGCTCCCCCCCCCCATGAAACCTTATTGTTTCAAAGTAGCGCAGGATTTCGCCCATCCACATACAAACAGCCCTGTTATTCGATCCGCTGACCCCGATAGTGTCTTTTCAACAGAGGTAAAACCATAAACTTTTGACAAGTATGTTGGTAACCAGCCCGTCTTCGGGTGGAAAGCCCTTTTCGGTTTCATTCACAACGCACGTACTCGAAGCCTCGAAGCGCTGGGAATGATTCGCGAGCAAGCGTTGCAAAGGCCACCCCTTGCCGACGCCTGACTCAGTTCAGTGGCACCAATTCTTTTTCCATTTTTTTTGGGTGGCTGCCCCACTAAAAGTGGTCCAAGCGAAAGAAAGGGCTCCCATTTTTTTCCAGGGTCACTGAACAACTGAGCAGAAGATCCATACCCCAAAAAGCCTTTGGGTGGGTTGGGGGGGGGGGAGGGGAGGAAGGAGGCCTCATTGGCTTGAGAGAGAACATACCACAAGGTTGCATTTTTGACCAGCAACAACACCACCAACAACAACACCAACAACAACATCAACAAGCAATAAGGAATACCAGTTTTTTTTTTGCAGTTTGGATGGTTAACAAGTACTTGGCAGGATCTTGCATTCGGGTGGTGCCCGTTCTTTAAAGCCCCCCAGATGCCCTCCCCCCCCTCCCAAATTGCCAAGTTTTTGCAGATGGGATGGGTAAAACGTACTTGGTTTACTCACATTCGGATATAACCAGTTGCAACGGGAAATGTAGAAAACAATTTGGGGGGGTCTTTCCTTGCACTTGGATATTCCCTTGGTTTACTTACATTTGATATTTGGATATGAAACCCTCAGTTCCTGGTTGGTCTTTGGACATGCCCTTTTTGGCGGAAACAGGCTGGAAAAAAACCTGGTACTGTACTTTTGGCGCTTTTCGGTTTTTGGGCTGTGATGTGTCGAGTTGCAGTAGTTCCTGGTCGGTTTTTCAGCTGGACGAAGGCCGGGCGCCAACGCCTCACGTCTCGCCCTTCCGTTTTTCGGGGCCTCGGCGCAGGGCTTCGGCTTCATCGCGGCGGACGGGGCGACGCAGGTCTTCGGGAAGGACGTCTTTGTGATGAGGAGGGCCGGGGCCGGGGCTGTGGGGGGGGATGGGGGCAGCCGGCAGCCGGCCCCGAAGCACTTGGGAGAACTGTCTGTGCTTTTGTCTTTTGGGTGTTGGATGGCAAATTGAAATGTAGATACATAATTTTATACATCTGGGTGTGAGTTTGATGTGTTTTTTTGTTTGATGTCTGTGTGTGTATTTACATTATGTTGTTGCACAATATGTAGGTGTTGTTTAGATGTTCATGGCACATATCTATATACTCGCTTGCGAACCTGTATTCGTGCACTTCCTGCGTGTGAGCGTGCGACCAACAGATTTCCTTCTGGATGCCGAAATTCGAACCCTGCCAGAGCATGAGGTCAGACATTATTGATGATGGTTGTACATGGATGGATTCCCCCGGTGTTTTGGTTCTATTCATTTACCCACAATCCACATATTTTTCCCAATAGGTCACCTTGGGCGATTGAGCGCCTTAGGCGCTCAGACTTTTGTTATGCGGGAGGCCGACTCTGACTCACGCATTCAATGATTCCATTTGCCTCAAACCAACCGCTGGGTTGCCAGACCTCCAAACATGGTTGATGTTGGGAAGCATTTTACGTATTTTTGCATATTGTGGTTTAGTGGTTGAAATCCAACCACTGAACTGCTAAAATTTGGGAATTTTTGCTCCCCTTCCAACGTCAACCCAGCTCGTCATTAAGGCCGCGTATCACAGAAGTGTGGAAATTCCCTTCCCAGCCTGCACGTTAGTAGAATGTCAGCGCCATAGCTGTGGATGCACCGACTGAAGCTTAGCCCAAGTTAGCCGAATTGAGCTTCTTGACTATTGCTTCGCATTTCGCACGAAGCCGCGGTTTTTTGTTGTTCGGACTTCGCAAAATCATCCGGAGGTCGACCATGTTGGGTGTCGGCGCTTGGCTCAATCGAACAAAACAAAACAGCGGCGGTTGGTTTTGAGGTGCTCGCGCATGTTTGGAAACACGTCTTGACTTCGGACCAGAAGGTGGCTGGTCGAGGCCTTGAGGACTTGGCATTGGTCGAGGGAACTTTTTTTTTGATAGGTTGTTAAATGGAAGCCATAAGGAACATCAGCATTTTGGGGAGACCTCAAACACCACACATTTTCGGGGTTTGGGGATCCAAGGCCAAAGGGTAAATGGGAAACCCATCCCTTGACCTGGGCGAACCACCAAAGGGGAAGCTGACTAGATACACCCACACGGCTCCAAACCGGCAACCGGGCTCAACCGAACCGGGCTCACCGCCAACCCTGCGGGCTCCGGTTGCGCAGCTTGGCTTCATGTCCACGGCCTGGAAGCTAACGAAGTCCAGGTGCAAATGGCTTCGGTACCCTCCCTTCCAACACGGCTGACAGAGGGCTTGGAGAGTAGATTGATCTTCCAGGTACGGCCATGTTAGTTGGAGGAAGGGATTTTATAACTGGTGAGGACTTCGTCCAGCTTTTGTTTCACGAAGCTGAGTCTTGGGCGCCTTGCAGGAGTCAGGTGCCGGGAGGCATGGTCATGCCTGGGCAGATGGTGCGTTTCAAGGCGCACACGCTGGTGGCTCCTGCGTTCGCTTCGCTCGTTTAACCTCTACTTGTTTTTAATTATTTAAATAAGCGAGGCTGTTTGACATATTTTTTGGCAAACAGCACAAGTCCACAATTTGTTTTTTGCCGATCCACTGGAAGTGAGCGACATGGGGTCGGTCCCGTGTTGTTTCTCTCCTTGCTTTTTCATTTGAAAACTTGGCAGGGGGGGAGGCGGTGGTTTTCTTCTCTCTGTTGGCATGTTTTTGTAGCTTTTAGTTTTTGTTTTTTTGTTTCTCCGGTTTTCTTGTTCTGCTCACTTCACTGTTGTTGGCATGTTCTGTGTTTGAGGCCTTTTCATTTTTATTAATGTCCAATTGGGATTAGTAAAGGGGGTCCCCCCCCCTCTCAACGATGGGGGCACCTGGAATAGCATCTTGAGATCCAGTTCAAGTGAGTTTCCATTTGATTTAGTAGTGGTAGACTTGAGTTTCCATTTGATTTAGTATTGCTGGAGCTTCCTTTTGTTCCCGAAAGCATGGCGAAGGGTTCTTCCGCTGGGTTCACTTGAGTTGTTCTCATGAGAGTCATTACAAGGTGTCATTGCAAGGAATCAGCATCATGAAAGTCATTGCAAGGAGTCATTGCAAGGAGTCATTGCAAGGAATCATCATCATGAAAGTCATTGCAAGGAGTCATTGCAAGGAGTCATTGCAAGGAGTCATTGCAAGGAGTCATTGCAAGGAGTCATTGCAAGGAGTCATTGCAAGGAGTCATTGCAAGGAGTCATTGCAAGGAGTCATTGCAAGGAGTCATTGCAAGGAGTCATTCATTGCAAGGAGTCATTGCAAGGAGTCATTGCAAGGAGTCATTGCAAGGAGTCATTGCAAGGAGTCATTGCAAGGAGTCATTGCAAGGAGTCATTGCAAGGAGTCATTGCAAGGAGTCATGGCAAGGATTGCAACTTGCACTTGACTCCTTGCAATTGCAACTTGCACTTGACTCCATGCACTTGCAACTTGCACTTGACTCCATGCACTTGCAACTTGCACTTGACTCCATGCACTTGGCTCCTTGCACTTGCAACTTGCAACTTGCACTTAACTCCGTGCACTTGCGACTTGCACTTGACTCCATGCACTTGGCTCCTTGCAACTTGCAATGGCTCTCATGACTCCTTGCAATGACTCCTTGCAATGACTCCTTGCAATGACTCCTTGCAATGACTCCTTGCAATGACTCCTTGCAATGACTCCTTGAAACAAGCAAGGAGTCAAGTGCAAGTTGCAAGTGCAAGGAGTCAAGTGCAATTGACTTGCGAGGAGTTAAAATCTCTTCTTAGGGCGGCGGGGTAGTGCCGACGACACTACACGAAAATCGACCCTCTGCGGGGATCGGCGTGGTCGAGGTGCAAAAACCCATGGTTTTTTGCGATTTCTAAAGTTCCCGCGCGACCCTCTGCGGGGATCGGCGTGGTCGAGGTGCAAAAACCCATGGTTTTTTGCGATTTCTAAAGTGCCCGCGCGACCCTCTGCGGGGATCGGCGTGGTCGAGGTGCAAAAACCCATGGTTTTTTGCGATTTCTGCGGTGCCGCGCAACCCTCTGCGCGCGCGGCGTGGTCGAGGTGCAAAAACTCGAGGTTTTTTGCGATTTCTGCGGTGCTCGCGCAACCCTCTGCGGGGATCGGCGTGGTCGAGGTGCAAAAACTCGAGGTTTTTTGCGTCTTTTGTGGTTCGAACTGGTCCTCGGGAGTTGTCTCGTGGTTCGAGCGCCTGCTCCCGGAACCGGCGGGTCGCGGGTTCGATTCCTCCCTGGTCCGCGGGCGGGCGTCGCAAGATGCAACTTGCATTTTAAAGCAACTTGCGCAGAGCAACTTGCGCAGAGCAAGTTGCACAGAGCAACTTGCGCAGACCAACTTGCACCGACCAGTTTGCGCAGAGCGCCTTGCCTAGAGCAACTTGCGCAGAGCAACTTGCGCAGAGCAACTTACGCAGAGCAACTTGCACAGAGCAACTTGCACAGAGCACCTTGCCTGGTGCTGTCTCGCGCTTGCTTCACGAATGCTTCGTGTAGGGAAAAAGAACGCATCCTGCAGCGTTGAGCAGACCTCGCTTGCGATGTTCTGCTTTCGGGCCAACCGTGGTCTAGTTTTTCTTGGGGGGGCCAGGCAACACGACTTTATTTCGAGGGCCCCTGAAGTAACGTCAAGTTGGGGGCTGAAGTACTACCCCGTTTGTGGGTTTCATTGTGGGCAGGTTTTAAACAAGAGGCATGTAAGAAAGCATGGGTTAGGTAACGCTGACAATTTTGGATTTGAGGAGCAGGCCCAAATCTAACAACACAGCATGAAGCATTGCCAGCCTCACCTAGGCTGTCTGTCTAATTGCTTGACTAGCAAAGAGGCAATTGCACTTGGCAGGTTGTATTTTTCAGGGGCAAGACTTTATTTCGGGGGCCCCTGAAATATTGTCGAGTTGGGGGCTGAAGTACTACCCCCTTTGTGGGTTTGATTGCGGGCAGGTTTTAAACAAGAGACAAGTAAGAAAAAATGGGTCAGGTAAAGCTGACAATTTGGGATTTACGGAACAAGGCACCAAAGATCCAAGGACCAGGTGTTGGCTTGGCTATCTCTCCTCTCCTTTCTCTCTTTCTTTTCCTTTTTCTTTTTTTTTTTGGCGCGGGTGGCGGGTGCTTGTCTTTAATCCAGGTGCGTTTATTAATCTTTTTGGGCCCCCCATTTGTCTGTGTTACGCGTGCAGTTTTGTTAATCCCATTTGGACATTAGGGGGCTGCAAAACACCCTGCGTGCTTGTGCACGCCCACACCCAAGGGGTTGGAAAGTTCCTTTGTGTCGGCTGCAAAGCGACCGCCGATTTTCTTTTTGGCTGTCGTAACCGTCATGAAGACGTGCCTAGCAGTTTCTGGGGGTTCTGACAAAGTTGTTATTTGAAAAAAACAAACCCAGAAAAACAAACAAACAAACAACAAAGACACCATACTCATGGCATACCCGTTGTGGGTTGGACTCCGTGGTTTTTTTGCCCCCCAACGAAAAGGGCGGCTTGCCAGTGGCTGCCTCGTCGCTGCGTGCGATCTGCGAGGCGCAGATGGGCGAGCGGGGCCCCACCTGCGTAGGGGAGGTGCAGCTGCAGCCGGGGACAGGACGCGCCCGCTGTCGCTTTGTCGCTTTCGAGCGGGTGGTTCCCTTGGTCCACACTTTTGGTCCAGAAAGGAACATGGCCTTGCCAGGGATGTGCTGTGAGGTTGCGTGTTTGCAGATGGTTTTGTACTCCAAGTTTCCACCCCCCCCTCTCTTAGTTGGGCCTTGTTTTAGAGAGGGGGGTGGTTCAGGGGGGGGGGGGTTATGCAATCTATGATCTGCTGCCCTTTGGTCCACACGTTGCCAAAGGAACTTCTGGGGTCCAGCAAGGAATATGGTCTTTCCAGGAGTTTGCTGTTTTTGTTCCGTGTTTGTGGATGGGAGGGTGGGTGCCTGGCTTGATGGGGGTTGTGGCCGTATACAAACTTTCATCTTGGTAGAACATAGCGAGGAGCTAACAAAACTATTTGGAGTCTATGGTTGTTTTGGTGAGGACGAGAAGAAGGGGACAACCTAAACTTCCACAAACTCCTGGGGGACAACCTGTTTGCCCCATGTCCTTTTGGGGGAACACAGAACATTGGCCGTGGGTCATACTGTCGATGGCATTTACGGGGGAGTCGACCATGAGGCCGTTAGTGTTGTCATGCTGCCTGCGTCACTGTAATTAATGCCTTCGGCGTGGCACCGTGGTGGGCCTCATAGTGATACAACTGGCGTAGGTCTTCTGGCACCCATCAACCGTCTTGCATCATTGCATGCACAAAGATCACAGAGAAGCAGAATAAATCCTCTCCGCACCGAGACAATGGCCACATATAGGCCAAAAAGCATATAGGCCAAAAAGCCAGCATTCAGCGCGCCTTCAAGTGGTGATTTAGCTTGCCGATTTGGAGGGTAGGTGGTTTTCCCCTGCCGTCAACAAAGGGCTCAAATCCAAATCCAACCAATCGAAACCTTCCATTTGCTGAACGAACACGTTTTGCATTTCCCCTGTTGGTTTTAAATGGTTTCTACAACCACTTGCTCAAAACCCGGGTAGATGAAGGTTAGTAAGGGGCAGTCCCAGCCAGGAAGAGTTGCGGACGGCCGCCTTCTTAATTCTGGAAGCATGGTTCTGGGTAGACCAAACTCAACCCCCCCCCCCCATTTTTTTAAATTAATCATAATTAAAAAAACAAAATGACGGTTGTCCCATATAACTCACATATGTTTTGATTATGACTCACATATGTTCTCATTTTTTCCCAGGGCGCGGCTTCAGAAAATGGAAGTCGAGCCACCAGCGAAGGGCTTGCACCTTCTTTCCGCTTCTTCGGTGGTCGCCCTGGTCGCATGGGGTACACCATGTTTGGACCTCAGGGTTGGCTTTTCAGGACAGGACAAACTCGATGGAAACACTGCGGATGGACGAAACATGAACACCTAAGAAACCAAGGCTTTTCTTCCTGCATGGTTTGCGGGTATTCGCAGGGGAATCGAATCAGTCCAGGGTTTCTTAGGTGGTGCAAAGTGGATTTCGCTACCATCCACGCTATGTTTGGGCTGAGTAGAATGCTGAAACCCTAGACCAACATTGATGCTTCAATATCAATTGGAATGCGAATCAGGCGTTGTCAGGGAAACACGTGTTGAATATTCGCTTTTTGCGTTTGGGCAACTTTCCTCATGACTGCATGCCGCGTAGGAGGCATGGGCGGCGGCATGGGCGGCGGCATGGGCGGCGGCATGGGCGGTGGCATGGGCGGTGGCATGGGCGGCATGGGCGGCGGCATGGGTGGTGGCATGGGCGGCGGCATGGGCGGTGGCATGGGCAAGGGGATGCCGAGCGCTCAGTCGTGGCTGAAATGGGGTTCTGCGGGCTGAAAGCGCCTGATGGGCCCGACCAGTTGACAGAAATACAAGATGTTTTCCCCCAACAGCTGGAAGCTTGGGGGGTGTTTGTCCAAGGTTCTGGGACTGTTGGGGGCAATCACCTAGGCGATTGTTGCTCCTATTTCAAAGATGGACAACTCTGGTTTTACGGCGCATGGGGACTCAGGATTTTATCAGGAAACAGGGCTTGGTTGATTGACGGGGCATGGGAAGTTGGCATTCGGATTTTTGGCCACCTTCTGTGCTTCCAGGCGAATTCCCTGTGATAAAGTCGTCACGGGCATGGGGGTCCCACTTCGGTATCATGATTTTCTCGAACGCACGTAAGACATGTTGGAACCGGGAGGGGGTTCACAGTGTGAATGACCCTCGTGTGAGGACGATGGGTGGCATGATGCCGATGGGCCGCTCGTCCGCAAAGACCCTGCCAAATCCATTTTGCGCCAGGTGGTTTATCCCCACTGGTACCTGGCATGCAGGTCTACAGTATGGACAATCCTTGCGAGGGTGCCTGCTGTAGTGGTTTCCCACATAAATTTCGTTCTGCAGGGTAACATGAAGCCTCTGGCTGGTTTTCAGGTGCGAAACCAGGGGTTCAAGCGAGAAGAAAGCGAAGCACGCGCCATTTAAAGGCTTGAAAGGCTCCTTCGGCTGTGTGTTGCTCCACGAAACCCAGCAGGGTACCATCAGCTCAGCGGCTCAGCTGGAGAGGTTTTAGCCATGGCGAACCCCTTCCCGACCTTGGTGAACAACTTGGTTGAGGACCAATGTCTGTGGTACCAAACCTTTTTCCCGGCTGAAAGTCATAGAGACGGCCTGCTTTGGTATCACCACTGAGCAAAGTGCTGGGCCTTTTTGGTCCATCTGGGATTTCCATCCGCAAGCCGAGGCAAGGGCGGCAAGGGCGCCATGGGCGGAATGGGTGGAATGGGCGGTAAGGGCGCAATGGGCGGCGGAATGGGCGGCGGAATGGGCGGCGCAATGGGCGGCGGAATGGGCGGCGGAATGGGCGGCGGCATGGGCGGCGGAATGGCCGCCATGATGAGTCTTGGCGTTCGCAACCTGTAAAATTTCACCCTTCCAACAACGGACCTGGGTTTTTCTTGGGGTTCGGAGGAGGAAAGCTGTCAAAACCCCGCTTCCATTGGAAGGGTCGACTTTCGGAGTTAGGCAAAAGGTGACGCACGTGTGTCTGTTTTTAAGGGCCCCAAAAAAGAAGAAGTGGTTTTCCTGTGTGGTTTCCCTTCCAAGCTACCAACCAATATTGGCAATATTGACCCCATATTAATCAAGTGTTTATTGATAGGGCGGTGGGGGTGGGGGCCCCTCAAGCCCAGGGACACTCCCCTGTCAATCATCCGGGGTTGCTTCATATGGGTATGGGGCAAAATCAGACCACCAGGATATGGACCGCACGTTTTGGTCCATGTTTCCATTGACCAGGGCAAGCCAATTTGGGTACCTATTTTTGACCACCACAGCCATATCATGGTAGTCGTTGGGAAACATTTTACGTATTTTTGCTTATTGTGGTTTAGTGGTTGAAATCCCCACTGAACTGCTAAAAGTTATTTTTTTGCTCCCCTAACCCAACGTCAACCAAGATATGAGGTCAACCTCAGCTTTTCAAAAGAAGATCCGCCCTCCCGAAGGTTTGACTTGGAGCAAGAAGCCGAGGAGCCAAATGGGCGGCATGCCGGCCGGCATGGCCGGCATGGCTGGCATGGGCATGGCGCTGAATCCCAACCAGGCGATCTATGCCCCGTATGGCTCCCTAATTGACCTGGGATGCCCACAGATGTTTCCGGTATGCATTGGCACATCAACCACTTGAAGCGGTGTTTTTTTTCTTTTCATGGGGAGCCTTTCTGAAAAGTGGTTGGTGGACATAAATCAATGATATCCACCAAAGGGTCCCTAAATAGAGTTCATGGCCACTTTTGCCCTGGATTTGTTTACTTTGGGTTTCCAGCTGTTGGCATCCATAGACTGGGGGGTGGCCCAGAAGGGAAAACGACAAGAAGCCCGACGGATACTCGAGCACCAATCGGGCTGCTGTTGTTGTTTCAGGTTTGTTTCTGGGGTTATCATTTTCGGCTCACCCTGCATCCCTGGATCTTGTAGAGGGTCAAGGGAAACTAATCCAAACCACCAATCCAAACCACCCGCTGGAAGGAAGCTGATATTTGACTAGGGGTCCAAGTCAGACACAGTTTAACAGGTCTGAGAACTGTTCACCATACCGTTTTTGGCGCATTGCCCTATAGAAATATGTGGTTCTTTTTGCACATGTTTGGCTAAAACTCGAGCTGAGGAGTCTCCGCTTTTTTGCAGGTCTACTACGGCTCCATCAAGGGCATCAACGGGGAGAAGGGCTGGGGCCACATCACGTGCCAGGCCCTGACGAAGGTGCTGCAAAAGGCGCGGGGTTTAGCCGCGCAAAGTGGCAAATATGGGGTACCTTCCATTTCCAATCTTTGCAGGGATCCTTCTTTCTAGAAAACCTCCGGAAACCGAGGCAAAACGGCCGGCTTTTGGAAAGAACGATGGTTGAAAAGAATGGGGAATCAACCCCTAGAAAAGTGTCATAGGGGGGTTGATCAAAAGGTCTGAACATGGGATGACCATTGGCTAGGTCCCCCAGCTAGGTGCCCTTCTCTCCCAACTTTTTTGGGGGAGGGTTCCCCTACTAAAATAGACTACAGGAAAAAGGGTACCCTTATTCTAACCTCTCTACTTACTAACCTGATTCTAACCTCTCTACTGGAGGACCTAGTTGGGAGAGACCACGAAAAAGAGTCGATGTTCCAACCACTACAAGGGAAAAGCTTCCCATGGTCCTTTGATGGGCCTCAACCCCATATGTTTTGGGCTCCCCTCGCCCTCTCCCCCCCCCCCTTCCCAACCATTTAAAGACCCAGAGTTACGCAGGTTGTAGTCTTTGGTTTTGGGCTCCATGTTTTTGACCACCACATCCATTTCTTTGGAGGGCAGCCTCGGTTGTGGCTCGGTTTTTATCGAAAAAGCCATGAGCATCGGTTGGAGCTCTTGGGAAGTCGCTCAGTGAGCTTTTGGGGCGCGGGTAAAAAAATCCTTCCATTTGCCGAAGTCAATGTGGATGGACAAGCTCCGTTTCGCACCACCGTTTCGCACCACTTTGAAACCATGGGAAACGATTTCTTGCTGGTATTTACAGGGGCATCGAATCATTCCAGGGTTTGTTGGGTGGTGCAAGATTTCGTCCATCCACAGTATGTGTGACTTTCTCTTGTTTTGAAGGAAATCGATTCCACTACTGGACATAGTTCCTCAGTTTTTGTCTAGGGGACTTAATAAGCACATGGAGGTTTACTCGCCCCAAGCGGAAGCCCCAGGAAGGAGTCCCTTGGGTCTCCCTAACCAGTGAGGATTGCCTTGACTCAAAAACACACATAGTACATACACAAGCAACACGGGCTTCTACCTTCGCCACTCAGATCGACATGTTTCCTATCTAGGGAACCTTGAGTGATGTGATTTCCGGGGTTCTAGCCAGTCTGACATTTCGGGAGACACTCACTTCCATAGGTGTCCTTTGGACAAATAGATGGCACGTCAGAAATGCAAACATGGCCATCTGATCTCGGCCCAATGCCGACTCGGGGGAAAAAACGGGCCGTCGTCGCCCGGCTAAAAAGGTCTTGGCTTTTTCGAACAGCCCTTTTCGCGAAGAGGTGGGGTGGGCCGTTGACAGCTCCGATTCGAACCTGTTCGAACCGAATCTTCTTTTGAACCCTCCCTGAAAGCTGCCCAAAACACCGCGATCGAGCCGTGAGCAGAGACCCCATGCTGTGGATGGACGAACTTCTGCACCACCGAGGAGACACCCTGGAACGATTCGGGTCCCCAACGTAAATACCAACAAACGGTATGGTTTCAACCATGGCTTGAAACTGATGCAAAATGGATTTCGCAACCGCTCCACAGTATGTTCCATGGTTCCCACCCCCCTCCCCTCCGCTCCCACGAACAAAAGCACTCAAAAGGACTTGTCTTGGTCTTACGTTTCCATTTACAAGATTTCAAGCCATGCTGGGGGAACCGCCCAAGCCTTAACACTCAGCCATATGGCTGTGGGTCAAAACCAGTGGTACCATTTTGGGGTGGGTACACCACTCATTTTAGTCTATTTTAGTGGGGATTGGGATGTTCACTGGGGGTACGGGTTTTTTCTCACCCATGGCCATATAGGACCCACAATGGTGGTCCATGGGCGTCTTTAAACCAACCTTTGAGCTTTGAGGTTTGTTTCCGTGGCACCTGACCTGAATCAAGCGCTGGTTTGATCAGAGTTTGACACGCGCTAAGGAGCTTCTGTGAATCAACTCACAGCCATGTTTCTAGCTGTACCCTCCCCATTCTCTTCAGGGATCCTTCTCTTCAAATGGAAAAATCCTGGCGGTTTCTAAAGAGAACGCTGGGTGAAGGGAATGGGGAATCAAACCTTAGAATGTCGGGAACCCAATTTTTGGGAACCCCAGCGGCGCAGCCAGGCGGACATCTTCGCCATGCGCTCGCATCTGGAGGAGCTCCCGGGCGCGTGCCCGGGGATGGAGGCGGCCTTGGCCGGGGGGAAACCCGCGCCGGAGGTGCTTGATGTCTGATTTGGCTGTGGTGGTCAATAATACTTTGGTGCATTTTGCTTGGCTGCTAGGACTTTAACTTTTTGCCAACTAATGGGTTTTCCACCAAACCACTAAAAGTTAAACTTTTAGCAGGGGAGCAGAAAGCAACCGTGAATAGGTATACCCAAAATGGATGGAACCCTGGCACATGGACACATGGACTAAAACCTGCGGTTTTCTGGTGGTGATTTTTGACCCCTTTTCTCGATTTTGGGGTGGATTTTTGAGGCCAAAGGCAAAGGGTTTCGGAAGGGGTCCGTGGGTTGTTGACCTTTGGTTTTCCTGTTTGCTCCATGATCAAGGTCACAAAGGGTATACAACCTTTTTAGTTTTCAGGCCCTTTGAAGTGAGAAAGGGGAGACAGGAGTTGGATCTCTCTGAATGTGTGGGCAAATGTGTGGTACTTGGGGTAAACAGGGTGGTTGGAAGCAAGGATCCTCAAGGCGCACATGCCGTTTAGTTGATATTTAAAGGCAAACCAACAGGGATCAACAGGACAACTCCCATTTTGGGGTGTCCATAACCGAAAAAGGAAGACACACACACACATACTGGACGGACAAAATCCTACACTACCTTCGAAACCCTGGAATGATTCGGTTCCCCAACCTAAATACCAACAAACGGTATGGGTTCAAGCATGGCAAAATGGATGGCTGAACCGAAATTGGCCCTCCAAATGGTGGTTTGGATGGTTTGGAGGAGTCCTAAATGGGAGTGGTTTCCCATGTACCCTTTGCAAGAACCAGAGTAGGTCTGAGCCGAATTGTGGCTTCGGCCGGGCCAGGTCTCCTTCACCATCCAGAACGGCCCCAAGGGGCTACTCGGCGAGCTCAGCCTTGGTGAGGGAACACACCGCGTATTTGTTTGTGGGAACTGCTTTTTTGGTCGTCTTTGAGATGTTGGGGGTGGGGGGGGGGGCATTTTCTAGAAGCTCAAGGCAGTTGTGTTTTTTGGCTGAATTTTGGTGTGTTTTGGTGGCTCTTCTTCATGCTGTTCACATATTACTGTATCGGCGGCTCAGCATTTTGCGTATGGAAACCAAGACGAAAGCAAAGGTTCTGGCTTTGGGATGTGTTTGGAGACGCCCATCCCAGTGCGTCCATCCTGCTTTCCTCATATATAGGTCTAGGTTTGACAAAATGATTTCCCCTCGTTACTCCTTCGGGTATCTAGAAGAACAGGGCATCTTCACACTCACCGCATTGCATCCGGAAGTGCGCGACCTATGTGGAACCTGTTGACCCGCGTACCGTTTGAAGCACTTTTTCGTATGGCGAACCCATATATTTGAGTCACCCATTTGCTTTGGCTCGTAGGGGCATCACTCACTCGTCTTAATTCAACCCCGCCCGCCCAACAAGAATGGGCTCCCGGCTGCCCGTTTGGCCTCAAGGAAAGGGACAATTTCAGTGTTTTGGCTTGGGCCTACGCGTCAACAGCTCGGATGGGGGCTGTGTCAATGTGAGGTAGGAGCAAGGAATCGGTTTTTGATTGCCAACAAGTTCAGTGTGCTTTGGCAGTCCATCATCTCGCGAAAACAGAACGGCCCACTGATCTTATCCGGCAGAAGAAAAAAAAACACAAGCAACCAACCCCAGTGATTCTCTGACATCAAACAAAGCGGCCAAATTGTGTTGTTTGGATAGACGCCACAAGCGGCCAGCGACACGCCTTGATTGCTATTGGGTTGGATCTTTCGACTCGACCTTTTTGGTTGACATGAGCTTGGTTTTCCGTCTTAAAATCCCAGAACAAATATGAATGAGCCCAACACCTTTCTGCGGAGGGGTGAACCTCTGGAATTCGAGGCTTCCATTGTCCCCCTTGAACCAAGCAACAAAACGGGCTTGGCTCGGGGAGTGACCCGGACGCCCCATGTTACACACTGTTCTTGGGGGAGAAAACAACAGTCTCGAGCTAGGCCGCACGCAGTGAACATCAAGCAAGTGGACACCTCGCCGGGGCAGAGCTACGTTGGCACCGTGAAGTCCTTCAACGAAGGCCGCGCGCCGACCCTCGCCGCGCGGCGCGGCGCGGCACGGCTCCGTCGCGGAACGTCGCGACTCCGCGCGTCCGATCGAATCGAGGGCGGCTACAGGGGTCGAAGGGCGCGGGAGGGGCGGGGGGAGCCGAAGTTTGGGGAGTTCGGCGCCGTGGAGTCGATCGTTGCTGGACCTTTGTAGTTTTTTTTTTTTTTCCAGTTTTTTTTTTGTTTTGTTGTTTTTTCCCGGGGGACTTATGCAGATGGAGGGTAGCCATTTGTGGGGGCCCGCTAGCTTGAGGGCATACCCAGATTTTCCGCTTTTGGTTGGTTTGAACATCCCCTTTAGGGTGGCCTTTTCAAAGTCATGTTCCTTTGGCTGGGTCACCTTGGGCTCGCTGACTTTCAGATTTAAAACAAAGTCAACAAACACCGCAGGGGTCACAAAGAGGTTCCCATCTTTCGTGGTGACGTCGCATAGATCCACGTCCCAGTCCCAACGAAGCTTCTCTTGCAAGCACACGGCTTGCCTCATTTCTGTTGGGTAATGTTGCACCCATGTTAATCAACCCCAGTTTAGTAATCAGGGGGTGAACGCCCCTTCGAAAGTGATGTTTCCCTGCTAAACCCAGGGAACACCCCACTATTAATAAACTGGAGTTGATTCATATGGGGGTCAAGAATAACTTGGGCAGAGTTGTATTCGGGACTCTTTGGTGGCCATCATTGAAGTCGGGAGTTGTGCCCACCACTTTCAAGGTGTTCAGACAAAAAAAAAGACAACAACTCATGGCTACTTTGCGACCGCTTTTGGAACGCGACAAACCACCTCCAACAAATCATTGGGCGCGCAGTCTTTGTGTTTAAAATGAAACCAACATGGCACCGCCTTTGCAAGTCCAAGAAGATACCAGAGGGTGCCATGCTTTTGACAGAAGTTTGGTTTCCCTTTATATACACAAACACCTGGGTACCACAACACATGAAACGCCCACTCAAAGTTGAACTTTTAGCAGGGGATCTGAGGACAGCTCAGGTCAGAGAGAGTGGCAACCCTCGTTTTGAGCTTCCCTTCCTGCTTGTGGAATGGAAGGGTGCCAAGCCGTCAATTCTTCCTCGATCTGCTGCTGAGGGTGATTGATTCCCATTTGTACCTATGGTTTCCTAGTGGTCTTGTCTATGCGGTTCTTTCGTAGATGACGCGAGGCGCAGGGAGTGATGTAGCGGGGAAGCATTTGTTTTTGTTGAAGGCAGCAAAGAAAGCAGTTCAAGTCGATGTTCATCCGCTCATTAATTCAATGGTATACTTGGCAGGGAGATGACCCCTGGAATGTCTTCCAGTTTGTTGCTTTTTTGTTCCTTTGGGAAATAACTTTCCCGCCACTCCTGATTTTGATTGAAGGGATACTTGGTGGTCTATTCTTCAAAGGCTGCTTTGGTAAGCATGGCCGGCTTTGGAGATCAGGGGAAGGATGCTCGATTTTTTCAGAGCTTTACAAGGTCCAAGCGCTTGCCCCTTGTCAACTGGAGTCCAAGCACGCCTGATGGAATCATGGAGTTGGACGTTTGCTCATTTTGTTGGAAAGGGCTTTTGAAGCCACATGGTTTGTTGTTGGTAAAGGGCTTTCTCAGTTTGTCTGAGTCGGGAGGGCTGCTCCAAATCACTGGTGAACGCGTCCAATTCGCGTTCACCGATGAACCGCGGTTGACCTTTGACGGCCACCGAAGCCCAAAGATCACGTGGCCTACGAGCTCCCCCTGATGGCGACTCTAAACCTCATCTCTTGGCTCAGCTTGAAGCGAGATTCCATCAAACCGGACATGGCTGTGTCTCATTTTGCGAGGAAAACAAAAGTCCTTTTGTGTTTCAAGGGAAAGTCACTTTGTTGTGTTTTGCTCTCTTTTTTCAAAGGACAACCACCATTTTGGGAGGTCCACTAAGGAAGGCGCGCCCATCTAGCCCCCGATTTTTTTTGCGCCATCGCGGGAGTCGCATCGGATCCGAGCCGATCTCCGCAGGAAAGGGCTGGGGCTTCATCGACTGCCCGCCCGCCCGGGATCTCTTCGGGGGCGACGTGTTCCTCCACAAGAACGCGTCTCGGTCCGGGTGGCTTTACCCCCCCGCCTAGGCGGAGCGCGAAGGGACTGGTTGTGTTTTTTTGACCCTCCGACTTTTTGTGAGACCTGCCATGCTTTCTATTTTTTGACCCCCCCCCCCCCAAATTACGGTTGGGAAGAACACCCAGAGGCCCGCCCCCCATCCCCAGAAAAAGGGGTCCTTGGACGGTTTTTTGAAGAGCTTTCTGGGGGTGTCGCCATCTTCCCTCCCCACACCTTTTTCTCCAGTGAAGCGGACAGACACCTGGGTTGCAACACGGAACTCCGCTTGGGCCTTCCGAGGATCCGATAGATGGGCCTCAAAAGGAGTGGCCCTGTTTTGGTTCTGAACGCGCCACCGTCGAAAAGGGGCCATGTTTTGACAACCCACGTTGCACTTGGAGGCCAAAAGCAAGTTGGGGTGTGGTATGGCTTTGGAACATAGGGTTCTCCATAATCCAACCAGGACCGGGTCACATGGTGGTTTCGGTAGCGGTGTCCCATGATCATGCTGGATGTTCAACCAAACTAGCAAGCATGAGCAGAGTTATGAGTGGGACAACAGTGGGTCCAACCTTATGGTTTCCTTCCCATCATTTCATGAATCGTGGTGCGAGACGAAGCGGATTTCGAACCAAGTAGGTTGAGAGACAAATAAACCTGAACCACGATTGAATATCCAAGTGCACATAGCCGGGCCTCTTCACTCGCGGGCCTCTGCAAGGGCCGTGGCCACTTAGGCCCTCAACGGCCAGAGCGTGGGTGCAGGCTGCAGCTTCAACCGGGAGGGACTTGGTAGGGGGTGGAGCTTGTCGCGTTTTTTGACCGTTTTTCCCCACGTGTTTTGCCCCAGGGCTTCACACCTCCATTTGCTTAAGAATATGATCTTATTTTCCCTTGTTGGTTTTAAAGGGGATTTATCACAGCTGGAAATATCCTGGGGGCTTAAGCAAATGGAAGACACACATTTGTTTTGCAAGATCTCGCTCTTGTGTTTCGCAAGGATTCGAGTGCCCGTTGGAATCCAGGATTGGCCCAGCGTCCATTTGAACAGCCCAGCGCCCAGGTGTCGTGAAAAGGTATTGACTTGTTCTCACGCAGGAAGTGAGCCAACTGCCCACTCCAAATTTGCTTCTTCGTTGCGGGTCGGGGCCAGTTTCCCGGAGAAACCAAACAGGCCGGGGGTCCCAATTGGAAGGGGTCCCGAGGCCCTAGGCTTTGGGCAAGTTGATGAGTCAACTTGGTGGTTTGGAACCAGCCATCCGGTTCAACTAAGGTTTTTTTAGTTGTTTTTAGTTGGTTTTCAGTTGGTTTAGTGGTGGGGTTTCACTAAGAAATACACTTTTTCCAGGGGATTCGTTTGGACAGCCCAGGCAAACCGAGCAGCAAAGGGGACCCTATCTAAGAGGAATGCAAGTCAGAAGCCATTTGGAGTTTAAGGGGATCGCATCCTCAGCTTTTAGGAGATTTCAACCAACACACAAATTCCCCGGTTTAGGTGACTCTGGTGAAGCACTTTTGGGGCTAGGCTCACGGCAGGTACCATATTTCTGCTTATTTTACGACGAGCTGTGGTAAACCGAGCTCATGATGTAGCTCCATTTTGTGGTATGGGTTTTAGATGTTCTTGCCGATCTTTGGGGATTTGTTTGATGTTTTGTTGCCGATATTTGGGGGGATCCCCATCTCTCCCCTCGCTTGGGCTGCCCTTTTGTGAGTTGACCCTTTGACCTCCGCAGCACTTTTGGCTGAGGATAAGAAAGAACACGCAAGAAGGGGATCTATCTCCGGCGTGAAAACCGGACTAGCACTTGTTCACTTGGGTCATCAAGACTACCAAGCCCTTTCTGAAGCTTGAGCTCGGATGGGAGGTTCTGAGGGTGATTTATGATCTCCCAAAACCTGGCGGCTACCTTTCTGGCATGATCAAGATGAACTCGAACATGCCTGACGTGAGCTTCAACTTGAGTCTAGTCAGCTTGGTTCACCGTGAAAGGCAACTTGACCCAGACGACCAGGTTTCCAGGTCAGGCGCAGATTTCTGGAGAGTCCCCTTCACTGTTGGCATGGTTTTAGTTTTTGTTTGTTTTGTTCGTTTGTTTTTCCTCTTTTTTTCTTGTAGGGGGCTGCAAGAAACAGAACCAGTTTCTTGCACGCCCAGAGCCCGTTCGGGTTGGAAAGTCCAGTTGGAGCCATTTGCAAGAAGGCCTTGCAGGATTTTTTCCCACTTTGGCCTGGATTTCCCACTTTGACCTGGGACAGATTCTTTCAGAGCCCCTCAAAACGTCTTTGCCCAACTGAGCCACAATCAACACCCGGGCAGATGAAGGTTAGTAAGGGGCAGTCCCAGCCAGAAATAGTTGCGGACATCCGCCTTCTCAATTCTTGAAGCATGGTTCTGGGGATTGACAATTTTAAGACCGGGTTTTTGATTGTGACCCAAAATGGCTTACCGTGTGGTAAATATGGAATGGACCAAAACCTGCGGTCCATATGGTGGTTTAATTTGGACCCACAGCTCATGCCGCGCTTTCCTTGAGCCGCATGCCCTCTGCCCTCTTCCGCGCGCCGTGGCGCCCTTGGCCGACTTGCGGAACTTGCGGCGTGAAGGCCGCCCTGGGTCTCCGGCGACGAGGCGAGTTGAAACCAGGCCCTGTGCGGATTTTGGGGAGAAAATTAGTTCAGACCACGTAGGGAAAAACTGGAAGGAGGCTGTTTCAAAGAAAGGGAGGCCGAAAGGAGGCTGTTTCAAAGAAGGGGTTTCGGACCCTTTTCAAGGACTTGGCGAATCCCAGACGTGCGGTTCCTTATGCTTAGCCCACAAGTTGTTGACTTTTAGCAGGGGATCAGAAAACGGACAGCCCAGTTCAATGGTGACTACATGGTGGTTGTCTATCCCATTAGACCCCTGAATTCTGTGAACCGTGGGAGTTGTGGAGTTCAATGGCTTCAATTGGTGAACCGTTTTCTCCAGCGGGGTATCTGGCGAAAGGTGCCCCGCTCGTGGGTAGGGAATGAGAAATGGAATGAACCGGAAGGCATTTTCGAATAAAGGGAACCAACTCGGGGATGGTTTATAAGGATCATTCCAGTTTCTCATTCCCTGCCTATCGCGCCAAAAGTCATGAGCCAACTCGGGGATGGGTTTTTCTGGGGCTCATGGGCCATTTCTCCTTTGCCTCTCGCGCGCCGCTCGCAAGGCCCGCGGCTCCCGGCGACTTCTGGGCCCTCGCTGGGCCCCGGAGCCGCGGCCGCCGCCCTCGCCGCGAACTTCTGGCGCCGCCGGCGGCGGTCCGCCGCGCCGCTGCGCTCGTGCGCCACGAGCGCCGCGACGAGTGCGACGAGCGCCGTGGCCACGGACAATGGTGTGACCCGGTGGCAACCAGTGGAGAGAGAGAGAGAGAGAGAGAGTTGGTAAAAGAGTGAGAGAGAGATAGAAAAGAGAGAGAGAGAGAGAGCTAAAGATAAAGAGAAAGATAACGACAAAGATCAAGATACAGAGAGAGAGAGAGAGAGCGAGAGAGAGCGAGAGAGCGAGAGAGCCTTGTTTTAACAATATATTTTTCTTGGGGGAAGCGCTTGAATTTCAAATCAGCCAATCAATATAAAGGCCACATGGCCCGGGCCCCAAATCACACTAAATAAGCTGTTTTCCTGTAGAATTACCTGTGACCCAACCCTTTGAATGGTGAGCTCCTTGTTCTTCTTTTCCCGTGGAAATCTCAACACGCACCGAGGTGATTCACAAGTGGCCCAAGAAGGAGATCCGAGGCTTGGTGGAGGAGCTAAAGAGCTCTGAGCCCATTCTCAAGAAGTACTTGGAGTATCTGAGACCAGACTTGGCAATCTTTTCTTGTTTGTAAATATGGGTGTGGCTCAAAATTAAACAGGGGGGGCAAACCGCAGGTTTTGGTCCATGTTTCCACTTACCAGGGTTCCATTTTGGTACCGGTTTTTTGAGCCACAGCCATATATCTGTTGTTTGCTGGTTGTCTTCATACTGTGGATGGCTTTTCGAAATCCATTTTACACCACCGTTCAGAAACCCAACGGAATGATATGATTCACATAAATACCAACGAATCATGGTTCCAACCACGGTTTCTGAGGTGGTGCGAGAAGCAGATTTTGCGACACCATCCACGGTAGTTCACCGTGCGCCGGCTTTTGAGGTTAGTGGGAACACCGCCTACAAACTGAGTCGAAGCTCGTCGCTTGAGGTACGCGGGCGATCCGTGGACCACCGACTACGCGGAGCTGCGCCCGCTCATGGAGGTGCATTTCGACGAGATCTCCCATGGCTCCGTCCAGGAGTTGGACTCCTGGCGGGCGCCTCGCCGATGGACTTGCCAGTTGCTTTTGCTTTTGCTCGGAACCAGCGAATCGTCCGGTTCAAGTTAATGTTAACCCCGGATCTAAGTAGAACCCTTGGTTGATTAATGGGGGGGGTGTCCCCTTTTAGTGGTTGGATTCGGACCACTTTTGGAGGGAAGACCCCCTAATAATGGGACGGGTTCTACTTAGATCCTGGGTCAACATTAGGTGTTCAGATGCCTTTGGTTTACCCTCCCTCCAGCAACCCAAGGTCATCGCGGCGCCAATTGGGTTGGATTGGCGAAAAGCGGGGTGTTTCCGCGCATTTACCCAGGGCTCCTTAAAAGATACATTTTGCCCATTTGAAACACGATGTTTTTTCCAGCAAAACAAAGGGACACCACCATTTACAAGGCAATGTTCAGGTGTATAATGTAAGGATCCCTGTTACCCTCTACAAGAACCACGGGCTCAGATCCCCAGTCCCAATCACTTGTGTGAACTGAGGCAGCGAATCGTCAGGTTCAAGTTGGGTGTTTAGATGCCTTTGGTTGGTTTACCCTCCCTCCAATAACCATGGAAGTGGACAGAGGGGTTGGGGACCCAAAAGGAAAGTAGTCTTCCTAAACCCTCCTGTCAGAATCCATGATTGTTGGAGGGAGGTACTGGTTGGGTTTCCATATTTAAACCACAAGCAAATCATTTAGCAGGGGATCAGAAAACGGACAGCGTTAATTGGACTTTTTCGGGCCACTTGAAAACTTGCTTTCGTTTTGTACAGCCCCACAAGATGTACACACAAGTCTCAATGAGAGTATGCATATCTAATTGCATGTACTATCGTCTACATGTTCACATACATACTTGTAGGGATGCACATGTGCATACGTGTAAACTACAATGCAATGTACATTGCATCGCAGTACATCACATTACATTACATCACGCTACGATACGCCGCGTTACGTTATGTTCCGTTTCGTTGCAGGACGTTATTTTACATATTGTTTCCTTGCCCTCATACATTACATCACTTTGCCTTGCTTTACCTTATCTTACGTTATTGCCAATTGCTTCTATACATTACATTACACTGCATGACATTATGTTTCATTTCACGAATTTCAATCCTTTCGATTTGACAATCTCTCGGGGGCGGGTGTTTTTTTTTGATCTCCACCCGGGGCAGGAAACAACAAGCTTTGCCTGGTTCCTGCCCAGGGCAAGAATCTGAACAAAAAGAACACTGCTGCCCCGAGAATGTGAATTCACCATACGTGTTCTTCTTTTTTCCACCGGAGCCAGCATAGATACACTTTCCATTTGTGTTTTTGCATCTGTTTGCACTGCAGATGCATGTCTTCTTCTTACACTCATTCGCTATGAGTTCACCACGATCAGACTCGCCATGTCAGGAGAGGGGCGAGCTGACCGCAGTCAGCTACCACATCCAGCAGCTGCTTGGCATCTTTTCGCATGCAAAATCGCAGGTCTGCTCCTGAGATGGCAAAGAACCATTTTGGGGTAGGTGCACCACCCATTGTAGTCTATTTTAGTGGGGATTGGGATGTTCACTGGGGGTACGGGCTTTTGACCCATGGCCAAATGCGTAAAAGAAAAAAACGTAGTAAAGCCTTCTGCTTACCGTCCGAAGCGAAGCCGCGCAGGTGTTGGTTAAAACAGGGTTCCACTTTTTGGCTACCCCCAGATAGACTTAAACCCAGGGGTTCTCCTTTTGGGGGACTGGGTTTAAGTCTACCCTGGGGTAGTCAAAAAGTAGAGCCCTAGGTTAAACAGCATATGGCCACAAGTTGATCCCGGAAATATGTCCGGATGGCCAAAGCTTTCCCCGCAGCCCGTTGGTTTGGATTTGGGTTTGGACGGGCTGGTTGAGGCTCAATGGGAAGCCTCTCCAAAGGTGTCTTGAACTGGCGCTAAAGGGGTGTAACCTGAGGGAATCCCGTTTCTAGAACATGGGGCTTTTGTTGGGAGCTGGCTGCGTGGCCTGCCCTGAAGCAACTCGATCCTTGTGCACCTGGCAACAAAAAACCACCAACACGCCAGCGAGAGGTGAGCTGATCAATGTTCAGAAGCTGGGACCTGGGCTTTCATTTTTCTTGAGGCGGGGGGAGGAGCTCTGAAAGTGAACTACCAGCACGGACACCATCCCACATGGAGGTGCCGGGAGTTTGGGGGGACCGTCAAGAGGGTAAATCTGCCCTGGGCCTGGAAACCGCGTCATGGCTGTCCCTTTTAAACCAACCCGGATTAAAAGATGCGCCCAGATGGACAAGCCTTGCTGATTTTTTGTGGGGCCACTCCCCGATGGACCCATATCGTCGAAAGCCAAGGGGTCGATAGGGCAGCTTTCAGGGAGGGCTCAAAAGGAGAGATTCGGTTGGGGGGTCGAATCGTGCGGTGGGGTCCCGGCCCTGATGCCTACAAATGGATGTCGGTGTTCGTTTTGATTCGTTTGAAACCAACCAAAGGAGGGAGACAAACTCCAAAGAAACGGACAGCCCTATTTGATGTGCGAGTTTACTGGGTTTGTCTCAAAATCAGTCGTTGGGTTGCGCATGCGAGTCACACTCAAATCCCGCTTAGATGAAGGGTAGTAAAGGAGAATCCCAACCATTATCATAAATGGGTGCGTTCTGGGTAGACCATTTCAATATCCATTGTAATTGGCATTGCTATGGAATCGACGCAGCTCACGCTGTGCCCTGTTCTCTAAGGGGTCATGTTGAACAAAACAAAAAGAAAAACAACAACACAAGCAAGCCAACAAAGCAAGCCAGCCGCCCAGTTCGGTTCTTTTGTCGGGCTACCAGGACCCGTTTATACGACATTCATGCGGAAGGGATGGGTCTCCACGGGCCCGCTTCAGCCTTCGGCGCGGTCTCCCCGGGCCGAGGCTGAAGCGCGGCCGCTTCTTCGCGCTGGTGGCCTGCGACGTGCACGAGTGCGGCTTCGTGGCGGGCGCCGGCCTGGCGGCGGCGCGGGAGGAGAGGCTTCGTTTGAGCTGGAGAGGGGCAGATGTTTTTACTGGTTGAGTCTACTGGTTGATTCCTTGCCCATTCTTTTCAAGCGTCGTTCATTTCAAAAACCGGATCTGTTTCCCCCGGGGTTCTGAAGGTTTCTGAAAAGAAGGATCCCTGGAAAGAATATGGAAGTGTCCCTTAGAAGAAGGTGAAAAAAGGCCACAGGGTGAGCGGGAGGGTAGCTTTTGCGTTTTGTTTTTTTTTGCTTTGGGGCGGGGGGGGGGGGATCTTTTTTCTTGTTTTGGGGGGGGCCAAGCCTGAGCCCTGAAGCCCTGAAACCGAAACCCTAGGAAACCAAAGCTGTCTTGGGGGGGTCCGTAGGAGTGCCTAATAAGATCTAAGAAGGTTGAGTCGCCATTCGCCCGTATTTGGGGGGTTTTATACAACCATAGGGCACAAAAATGCGACCCAAGGCTCAGGAACCCAGGCTGCCAACAACTTATTGCCCGAACACCCAAGTACCGCTTTGTTATGGTTTTAAAGGAACACCGAGGCCATTTTTGGGGCCTCCCAAAAATAGTGCACACCCAAACACTTTGAGACCGTTTGAGACCCAGTTTAGTGCTTTCGATTCTTGGGGAATTGAATCGACTGGGTCTCGGAAATACTTTTGTTCTCCTGGTGGCTCCCTTTCACACCAGAACAAGGGGGGGGATGGACTCAGAATCTAGATTTTCTTGCACAAAGCAACTCGAAATCCCCCTATTCCCATTCCTCAGTCGCCCAAAGCACCCAAAAGGCAATCACCTTTTGGGGCCAAAACACCCAAACTACCCACAAAAAGTTGGACTTCACCCCAGAGTTTTGGGGCAACAAACATATTTGTTTGTGAGGGACCAGGTATATTCTTTTGGAAAGCCGGGGGGTAACCTACGGCTTATGGGCTACATGCCAACCTATGGTTGCACCCCCGTCCATGGCTTTAGGTTTTTAGGTTTTTCTTGAGTCGGAACCACCGAAGTCAAGTTGGTGCACATGAATCAGCAAATTCTGATGTCCTTCTATTTGCTGAAATGAATATTTTGTGATTTCCCCCCTGTTGGTCTTAAAAGGAATCTACTGCTACTGGACATACTGTTGTTCCGGGAGACTTAAGCAAATGGCGGTGCATGTCAAGTCAATACTTTTTACCCCTCCCTCCCTCCCATTCCCTTCGGATGGTCAAAATCCGTTTCGCACCTGTTGGGATGGACGAAATCCTATAGTAGAATCCACCTGCCAACTGGTGCAGGATGTTGTTCATCCACAGCGGGGAGGTAACAAACTACCTTCCCTACTGTGGATGGACGAAATCCTGCACCACCTCAGACACCCTGGGCTGCCGGACCGAATGCCAACAAATGTTGTGGTTTCAACCAGGGTTGCATTTGGCGGTGCGAAGCGAAATGAAGCGGATTTTGTCCATCCTTAGTATTTTAAGGGGTAACCGGCACTTGTTTTCATCTTCCACCCACGTTTTGTACCTTGACCTTGCTGGGAAGCAACAAAAAGCACACACCTCCCCTATATACTGGAAGGGGCAGGGTACGTAGTAAGTGGTTAGTAAGCCTGGCTATAACCCACTGAACGGAGACTTATAACCATGATGGGTTATATCCAGGACACTTACCTGACGCAGCCGATTCATGGGTGGTATGCCCTTCAGGACGCCAAGCAGCTGGCGGCGCAGCAAGCGCTGGCGCGGCTCTTCTTTCCCTCAGAGCCGGTGGAGGAATCCGAAGGGATTGCGTGAGCCACGTCCCTCGAAATGTCTGGCGAGTTGCTTCCTTTTCTTTCCAATTTTTCTTGGGAAGGGTTCCCCGTTAAAGTCAACCAACCAAAAAATCAGATGCCCTTTTTTCCCATGGCCACTGGGGATCTGAGTGGGGGATTGATGAGGATGGGAGAATCCCCTTGCCAGAAATGGGTGCAGACATCCGGTTTCAAAATCTTTAGATTATTCAGGAATTGTTTACATTGGTCCAAGGTAGAAACAGCGAGCTCATAAAAACTGGGTGGTTAGCCAGGTTTTTGCGATTTTAGGTTTTGAGGGATTTGTCTGGGGTTCCATGTAGCCCACAAAGTCACATTTTTTAGTTGGATGAGTGTGGGTTCCATGCTTGAGAATTCTCAATAATTGTTTGAGCCATGCTTGAAACAGGTTTGGTTGGAGCTGTTTTTACTTGTTTGGTAAACAGGATGCTGCTTGGATTCACTGGGATCTGCCGAGAAAAACCGGGTCCCAGCTATTTGGGCCCTTCAGGTTTTTAGTTAGCTTGGTTGGGTTTCCGTATTTTTGTCCCTCCAAGAGTTCAACTTTTGGCAGATGATCAGAACATGGACAGCCCAAGGTGGAAGAAGGTCAAGGGGTAAAAAGCGTTGGGGGGGGTGCCGCTGCCCACTGAAAAACCTATGTATGGACGGAATCCTGCGCCACCGAAATAAAGCCATGGTTGAAAGCACGCTTGTTGGTAAATACAGGGGGGTCATATTCATTCCGTGGGGTTTCTGAAAGGTGGAGCGAAATGGATTTCGCAACCATCCACAGTTCGATTCTGATCCCCAACAATATATATATTTTTTACGACCCAAAAGGATGCCATGAAGAAAACATCATACCCCGTTCAGAGACACCCTTAACCTTCATCCAGACCCTCCAGTGGACTTCCATGGAGACAAGAGGGGCACCCTTTTTGCCTTTTTGGTCGCTCTTTCGTTCAACAGACCCCCCTCCATATTGCCCAGCCCCCAAAGGGAATCCATCGCTATTGGACATGTTTTCCCATTTTTATCCAGGGGTCTTCTCAGAAAATAGAAGATCGCATCGTGGAGGTCTTTTTTGTTTCTTGCGGGTCATTCCATTCCTCATCCCCTGCCTATCGAACCACCAAGACTTCCCTTGAACACCAAAACATGTGGTGTTCCCTAAAGTTTTCCCTCCCCTTGAGTCCCTAGACTTTGAGCTTGGGAAGACAAAATTTTAGCGCGACAAAGTTGGGTTCCCTTTTTGGTGCCATCTCGGGAAGACGAGCCTCCGCTCGGGGTCGAGCCCAACGTTCTCGCCGGCCGAGGAGATCCAGCGCTGCGCCGACCGAGTGCGGCACCACGAGCAGCACTCGGGCGCCCGGATCCCGGCCATCCAGGCGGCGGAGACGCTGACGGCGCTGGAGGGGAAGCTGGAGGAGCCGTTGAGAAAGTCGGGGTTGCGTTTCTAGGTCCCTCCTGTTGCCCAGTGGGTTGCTCCCCTTTTTGTTTCCATGTTTTTTGGAGAAAGGGTTTCCCTTTAAAGTCAACCAACAAAAAAGGGCATCTGAGCTCCTGTAGTGCCCTTTTACCGTGTTTTTTTTGGGAGGGTTCCCCTACTAAAATAGACTACAGGAAAAAGTTGGTACCCTTATTTTAACCTCTCTACTGGAGGACCTAGTTTTCCACTCCCGGGATCAGGCAACGTTTGGGTTGGTGAGGGGACATGGGACATTTCTCGGCCACCGAAACAATCCAAACCACCATTGGGGGGCCAGGAAATTTTCATCAACCCCCCAAGTGTTTAAAGGAAACATGTTCCCTGTGAAGTCTGCCAAAAAAGGAGTGCCTATTCTTTTTCCCCAAGGGAAATCCATGCTTGGGATTCTTTTTTTGAGACAAACCCAGATCTGGGGCTGAGCCTGCGCAAGCAACCCCTGCGGAATTTAATTACATGAGCCCCCCCAAGCGAACCCAAGCCTTGTCGAGGAGACCAAAAGCACCCAGCTTTGTTTAGGAAAACAAGAAACAAACCAGGCTTTGCACAGGAAAGTGCTTTTGGAAAGCTATTTTTCTCCGATTAGACATGGGGCAAAGTAAAGAACTTTGAAGCCACACTGAGTCATGATAAACATCGCATAACACCGCAGAATTGTGTACTCATCTTGAGCCCCTCATGTTGAGGTTTCGGGTTCCCTAACAACAAGATTTGCCACCTGTGACACTACTTCATCACGATAGGCGATTACATTGGCACCACGGTAAATTACACGCAAGAAATGAGGGGCCTGCAACCTGCCGTTTGCTCTTACCTACCATAGTGGTACCTGGCAGCATTGGATAAGGGAAGCAAATCGGCCTGCATCAGGGCTACCCACACCCCCAGAATGGTTCCCACATGCTCTCAGAACCCTTCTACGAAGCTCTCCGAAGGTTTCAAGATCCCGGGCTGGTAGGTTTGGTGCGGCGATGCCGACGCTTGGGGCTGATCCCGTTTTCCAAGGTGGATGGGAGGCTTTGGGAGCCCAACTTCCGCTTCCCTTTTGGTGCACCTGAAACCCCACAACCGTTCAACACGCTTTTGGTTGGACTCCCCGAAACGAAAAATGCCCACAACGAGGACAACCCGAGAACACCACCACCTCCGCGCTCCAAAACTTCCCGAAACGCCTCCACGGCCCACGGCGCAAGCTCCGAACCGATATCCGCGGAGTTTCATGTTTTCGAGTCGCCAAACAAAAACCCAGGTGGCAGTTGGGGGTTGATCAAAAAGTCGGAAAACCACTAAAGAGATGAGAACGTTTCCGCATGGGAACCACCCCTTATCACCCGGTGTTCGGCTCTTTTCGGGACTCGAAACCCCGGTGGGAAACCAGAAGAAAGAAAAACACACAAGCACCGCAGAACAAACAACATCAACAAAACCCGCCGGCCACCTCCATCCCCATTCCGATGTTCCGCTTCCACAGAAGCACCACCGGGCTCGGTCGCGCGCGGTTTTCTGAAGCGCGTCTCACGTCTCACACGCCAACCACTCGTGTTGTGCCATCAATCGCCTCCCGATTTTCCGCGGAAGCGCGTGCTCTCCGCGCGCGATCCGCGAGCGAGCGAGAGGAGGTGCACGTGAGCGCCTTCCAGCCCTGCGGCAAGGCCTGGCAGGCCGCCATCGCCTGCCGCTGCTTCGAGGTCCAGGCGCGCGGAAGGAGATCGGATCGAGTCCGATCGAGGCGGGTGGTTGGCGAGGCGAGAGGTGGTGGGTGAGGTCATCATGGAAGCTGAAGGGAGGTTCGAAGCCGGAGCTGAGCTGTTTTGTTGTTTTTGTTCCTTGGGTTTCCCCAGGTTTTATGCCCCAAAAGGTGAGGAATCCTTGATGATTTTTGGATCCCTTTTTGGGCAACTGAGGTGAGGCTTGCCCTGTGCTTTGATTGGCAGACCACGATTCACCGGGGTTTCTCAGATTTTGCCATGGATGTTACTAAGAGAATTGGACTGTCCTTCGGGTTTGGGATGCGCCCAAAACCGAACCAATGGAAATGCGAATCATTCAACTCACTACCCGGGGCTGAAGGAGTTTTCGAATGCCCTGCGAAAAGATTTTCGACAAGGTGTGGGCGAAATGGGGAAAACACCCACTAAACCAACTAAACATGTTCCTAATCATCAGTAACATCGAAGCTCACTGGGGGGGTCAGGTTGAGCACCTGAGAACGCCGCAAAATGCGGGGACCGCTTTTAATCTCACTTGTGGGATGAAATTGGCAGAACACTTTGGGGATATCTCCAAACCACGCAGCGACGCAGGTGACCGAAAAGTATGGGTGTGCTCTTGTTTTGCCAGTTTCAGGGTTGTCGGATGGCTGTGCACAGGTCAACAAACCTTGAACCAGGAGAAAAAAAACACCCCAGCTGCAACAGGGCTCCTTAAAACATACATGTTGCAACCATTTGGAACATTTTGCCTTTTCAACCCCAAAATAAAGTTGGAAACCACCATTTACAAGTTGCAATGTTCAGGTGTCTAATGTAAGGATCCCACACCAAAATAAAGGGAAACCACCATTTACACATCCGGATCCCTGCTGCAACCAGATCAAAAACGACCTTGATAAGGTCCAAAACCTTCAGCCCAGGCTTTGGACTTTCAGTGATTCAGCTCCGAGGGTCCCAGGGTTTCGCAATGAGGCAGGGTTCCAGTTCTCAGGGGGGTCCATTGCTATATTTCCCTTTTTGGCGGTTTTAGACATCACCTTTTTGGCCCAGGAAAGGTGAGTGTCCCTGGGGGTGATGTCGCAAGGGGAAGAAAAAGGGAGCCCTGGTTCTTTAAGGAAAGGCTTCGAGAAAGATGACCATGGTTGAAACCCGGTGAAGGGTTTAGAAGGCACATGGGCGGCTTTGCCTTCTTCGGATTTGAAGAGACAAAAGGAACACCACCAATCTTGGGGGTATTGGTTGAGACGAACCCCACATTTCGGTGCGAGGTTGAAGGAATTGGAGCGACCGGGCGAATTACCTGGCGATGTCCACCAGAGGGTCCCTCAGTAAGATTCACACCCATATGGGTTTCCCTTTCAATTTAGAGTCCGCTCAATTTATTTTGCCCACGGTGTCCTTTCCCCTTGCTAAATTGTTAGCCCTGGTTGATTCGGGGCAACAGGCTAGTTTTGGCACTCACCACAAAGACCCCTCTTCTCCGTTGTGATGGCTCAGTCGCCATAGCCGAATTTAGCCAGGGTTCTTACTCAGTGCTTCCATGTAGGTGTGCGGTAGGTGGCAAACCAACGCTAGTGCTTCAATCTACCACTCTAGTAGGTGACCGGCTGTTTTTTTCACCTTCAGCTACGTGATGCTTTCCCCTGATATCCTATAAAGCCTTGCCAAGCACTGGCTACTGTGGCTTGCCGGGGGTCTGGGTCATTCCCCACAGCCGGGGTCAATCCCAGCAGCAACCCTAGATTTAAATCCAAAAAGAGAAATGTGTGCCTAGTTATGTCGCCTCTTAGATGATTTGAAGAGCTAAATGGGTACGGGTCAGAATTAATCCACCCTGTGGATTGCAGGCTTTGCTAGTTGTTTCCATTTACAAGGGCAAGCGAAAGGGTAGATCCGGAAGAGCAGCTGCCTAAGCTTACCATGATGTGTGTCTTTGTCTACTTGGGGTTCCGATTCTTATTTCCCTTGGTCCTGAGACAAAACGTTGGCCCCAAGTGTGAACATGAGATGAGTGTGCCCTATCTAGGGCTTTCCGCCAACAATGGTGGTTTTCCTTGTGGTTTCCCGTGTAAAGCACCAAAATTCTAGGGGTTGATTCCCCATTCTTTTCAGCCATCCTTCTTTTCAAAGACCAGCCACTTCCCCAAATTTTCAGGGTTTTTGGTGGTTTTCTAGAAAGATCCTCATTTTTGGAAAGAATGGAAATGGATAAGTTACCGCTTGAAAAAAAGTCGGGGTCCCCTTTTGCGTGGCTAAGAGTTATGAGCTGGCGCTGGGGTTCCAGGTGGTGGGCCCTTCCGCGGACTACGACCGCGACACCGCCATAGCGCTGGCCGGGGAGATCTTCATGAGCCGCCTGCGGTGGTCGCTTTGATGCGTTGGTGTGTCCCGTCCTTTCGAAACCTCTACCTCAGAATCTCAGAAGCACAAGAAGGTGTGGGAAAGGGACAACGAAGAGAGATAGGAGGGCAAGAAAAGCGAGCTCAGAAAGCCTTGGTGGTTCCCCTCGGCGATCCGATTTGTTAGTCTCTTCTTTCTCCTTAACAGATACATTTTGCAACCATTGAACACATGGCTTTTTCAACCAAAATAAAGGGAAACCACCATTTACAAGGCAATGTTTAGGTGCATAATGTAAGGATCTTTGAGAAAGCCTTGGTGGTTCCCCAGCAAACCGATTTATTAGGTTTTCATTTTGTTTTTTTTCAGGGATTGGTGGGTGGGTGGGTGGGTGGGTGGGTGGGTGGGTGGGTGGGTGGGTGGGTGGGTGGGTGGGTGGGTGGGTGGGTGGGTGGGTGGGGTTCATGTAGGCGGATTAGTCGGGGTTCCCCAGCCAGGTTTTTAGTTGTTTTAGTGGTTGGGTTGCGATGCCCACAAGTTGTCGACTTTTAGCTGGGGATCTCAGGACAGCCCAGAAACGGGGGCAACGCGGGCTCACCTTGAATAGCTGGCTGGTTGGGGACGTGGATAGTTTCCCACCCACCACACCAGGGCGCATGATTTCCAATTAGGGAGTAGTACTGTGCCCTAACCGTGGATGGACAAAATTCTGCACCACTTTGAAACCATGGGAAGCCATTGCTTGTTGTGTTTACCGGGGAATCACCATTCCAGGGGTTCTTAGGTGGTTCGAAGTGGATTTCGCAACCATCTACAGTATAGTTGTCCCTTTTTAGGCAATGGGGGGAGGGGTCTATGGATGGCAATCTGGTATGAACTTGAATGGGTCCCGGAGCCTGTGGACACCAAATTGAGACTTGCGAGGTGGGTCCCTGATTGAAATTCACAGCCATAGCCCATTGATAGTGGTTCTAGTGGATACTCGCCACCCAGCTGGCATGCGGCTGATCGCAGTGGTCTTAGCTTAGCACAGACCTCCCCGGGCGTCCGGTGTCCTTTTTGGTGGCATCCCGAAAAGTGTTGCGTGCCCCAAAAGAGAAAATAAGGTTAAGGGCCCCCAGAGCTGATTCGAGCCACTGGTCGAGCCGAGTTGGGCCTATCGACCCCATAGCTTTCAGCTGCTGGGCCACTGAACAGCTGGGTTTTCCCAGTGGAGCACGATCTGGAACCTTTCACAGAGTCACAGCAACCTGTTTTTTTCTCTGGATTCTGATGGTGAGTTTTGCTCCCCCCCCCCCCCCCATCAACTAGCATGGAACGATTTCCGATTGCCGCAGCTCACTGAAACCTTTGGTGGTCCCCAGCCATCCCCTTAGGTATTTAGCCTTTTAGGGTTTTAGTGGTATTTTTCATTCAGCCCACAACCCACTAAAGTTAAACTTTTGATAGGAGATCTGAGGACAGAATTCAGAAACGAGCTCACGACGAAGGTCCCTTTGGGATCCGATGATTCATTCTTGTTTCGGGTTTCGAAATTGCTTGGGTGTTTGTTCGCCAGGTTTGTAAGTAGTTGGTTACCTAGGTTATTACCCACTTAGAAGCCTCCCATCTGTGGAGTTTACCTGGTTGGTGGGCAAACATCTAGGTGTCCAGCTCCCATCATTAGGGCGTGTCCTGTTGTTTAAGACCCCTTTTGGAGCCCCCCACCAAAGTGCAATTCGGTGTGCTTCTTGGTTTCTCCTAAACAAGGGGAACCCCCCACAATGGAATTCGGGTGTTCCTTTTGGTTTCCCCCCCCCCAAAAAAAAACGCTAGCAAAGAGTGCCAACTCCGAAAACAGACAGAATTCAGCAGGGAATGCGACCAATTGAATGCCCACAAAACCTATCCAACTGCATGCGTTTCCTTTTTTTCGGGCCTCCCGAAAAGAAAAAAGGCTCATTCCACTTCAAGTTCTCTACCCTATCGCAGCTCAGGTACATGCGGGTGCCTGCCGGAGACCCCCACGAGCCTGACATGTGGGCGCAGACCTGGGACCAGCGCCTTGCGCCGAGATTTTCGGCGGGCGACGTTCGCGCTGCGAGGTGGAAGGCTCAACATGGTTGTTGTTGGGAAACATTCTGCTTGTTGTGGTTGCTTGAAATCCAACCACTTAGCTGCCAAAATTCAACTTTTTGCTCCCCAAATCCAACGTCAACCACGTCAAGGCAGGTTCCGGGCGCAGGTGCAAGGCTTCCGGCCAGGTTCCGGGTTTGCTGAAGGAGATGGACCTTACCTTACCTCTTAAAAACACAACTTTTCAACTTTTTGGGTAACATGGGCTATATGTCTGCAAAAGATTAACTTCCCCAGGGCTTGGAGTTTTAAGGGGTATTACAGTGGATGGTTGCGAAGTGCAAACATCTCGTGCCGAGTTTCGGAAGCCCGACGGAATGATTTTCGATTCCCCAACGCAAATGCAGACAAAGTCTGATGGTTTCATTTTCATGGCTTCCAAGTGGTGCGAAGCGGATTTCGTCCATCCACACTAGGATTTGAAGGACGTGGCTGGGTCTTGTCCTCATGGTCATTTTGGGGCTGCTTTTTAACAAATGACACTCCCACCCAGAGGCTCCCGATTGACTTAGGGCCTTCAAACAACCTGGTTTTTTTTGACCCCCAACCACCGGGGTGTCCAATGGAGGGGTAGGGTCTTCCATTGAAAGCCGAAGCCAGGAGCCTTTGGGCACAAAATCTTCGTCTGAAAGAGACGGACCTTAGGTCCCAAATCGCTGGGCTTCCCGGGGCCGTTGAAAAGAAAATTCCCGGGGGACGGAGGTGTTTCCTTTTGGTGTTTCCGGTTGAGTCTACTTGGTGGTTTTTGTTTTTTCTCCCCCATGTTTCCTGTTGGTTTCGTGGTTGGGTTTTGATTCAAGCCGCAAGTGAAGCTTTTTAAGCAGGGGATCTGAGGACTCAGAACATTCGCTTTGTACGGTGGGTTTCCATTCAAAAAAGAAGACACCAATGGTGTCAAGAGACCCCATGGGACACCCCCTCGGTTCCCAGCCGTCAGGTATAGGGTTTAGTGGTTGGGTTTTCATGCCGCCGAACCCGAAATCTTCCGGTGGGTGACTCTCCTGTGTTCATGGGTTCTTCTTCCGGGTCCAGGAAAAACGTTTTTTTTCATCCTTTTTTCAGCAGCTCCTGAAGCCTCAAATACCTTCAAGCTCCCCAGAAACCAACGAGAATTCACCAACCAGAAAATTTCGTTTTTTGAGGGACCCACCCGTTTCTCCTCTTAGCTTCCCACTAATTGGTGGTTTGGATTGGTGGTGACCGGGGATTTGAACAGGTCCCTGGCTTTTGTAGAGGGTAGATGGGACACCACCCCAGCACCAAACCTCCGATACGGCTCCAACTCACCAACTACAGGGAAGCTGAAACACCCATGCGCCAAAAGTCAAAAGACTTCTTCGTAGGATAGAAGCATGGATATACTGTGGATGGACGAAATCCTGCACCACCTAACAATCCCTAGAATGATATGATCCCCAACGTAGATTTACCAAGAAACGGTATGGTTTCAACCATGGTGTCTTGGGTGCGAAATGGATTTCGCCACCATCCACAGTATGCCAATGGATGACTCGCAACCATCCACAGTATGCCAACCACCCACAGGTATGGTTTCAACCATGGTGTCTTGGGTGGTGCGAAATGGATTTTGTCCGTCCGCGGTGTGCCAACCACCCCTCCAACTTTTCGAGGAGGCGCCAAAGTTTGGGCAAGCCTTGGAGCGGCAAGAGCAGCGTGCTGCAGCACGAGGCCCGACTGAGCCCCCCCCCAAGAAAAAAAACGCAACGGGGGTTCCGTTGGGTTTCCCTTAAAAGCCAATTGCCCAAAAAGTTTTTTTTTTTTTTCTCGAAAGAAGAAGGACGAGGCACCCGTGTTTTGGGGCTGTTGGATTTGTTTTTTAGGTTCTCTTTTTTTTCTGCTTTGATGTGCTTGACTCACCGGTCTGTGTAGACGTTGAACGGGACAGACTGCAGGACCCCCCATAGAAGTTCCTCCATTAGTTGACGCGTTCGGGCAAAGTTTCCCAGAAATGGAATCCCCCAAAATGGCACGTTGGTTAGGAACAATGTGTAACCGCAAGTGCTTAAATTTTGAGCCACACCCAGATGAGACACCCCCGTTTGGGTATATGGGAACAAAGCATACCCCAAGTGCTGAGCATTTTGAGCCACATGATTCGGAGACACCGTTTGGAAACGGAACCAAGCGTTCCGTTTGCTGAAATGAAGATGTTTCTATTTTCCCTGCTTGGTTTTCAAGGGAATCAATTTCACTACTGGACATTTGTTTTCTTCGAGAATCATTGGAGGGGAATCCTTGTCAACCCAGCCATTCAACCTTGAGCACCTAGAACACCCCCGCAGAAAGAAAAAACAAGCACAAAAAACGGAGCACGTGAGCGCCACCGCAAGAGAACTGTTTATGGGGCAGTGGGGGCAGGTTGGTTTTCAAGGTGTGTTTTTTTTTTCCCCCGCTACCCAGAGGCAACCCTAAAAACTAAACCCTAAACCGTTTTGAGACCACCAAACACCTCCGGCGTATCTAATGGAGGGTTCGTGTTTTGTTTTTCCAGGGGACTCGGCAAAGAGGTGTACTAGCCCCAAACAGAGGCCCAAGAAGCGGCTGGGTCTTCCTAACCCCGGATTCCCCTGACTCCCCTACCATGTATGCTCCAGTCCCCAGGCCGCCAACGCCCCCCCCTCCCCCGCATCATCTGCAAAACCAACTCTAAACCAACCCACCAACCCTAGACCAACTCCAAACTACACCAGAACCGGTTTGTACACTTGCCATCTTTCTGCCACTCGAAAAGACTCGCACAAAAAAAAAACCTGCGCCCGAAACTCTCGGTGCCGCGCTCTTTTGGCAGGTGCCTGAACTGCTATTGGGTTGGATCTTTAAACTTTAGCTTTTTGGGAAATCAAAGGGGTTTCCGACTAAACCGCCCAAAAGTGGAAAACTTTTTGCAGGGGGGTCGTTACAGCAACAAAGACTCCATACCATTGCCTACCATTCGACCTACCATTGCTTTTCCTCAGGGTAGCCAGCCAACAGCTTCGACCCAGCCAACAGCAACCGAGGCCATCCATTTCTATTTCCCCTAAAAGGACACCTATCACATGAGGTTTCGTCCATTGGCACTATGACGGAGACGCAATCCCACACAAGGATGCCTACTTGAAGGGGCAGGGTACTTGGTAAGTGGTTCGTAAGCCAGGTGAGAGAACCCACGGAACGGAGACAAACAAAAACCATGGCAATTAAGTGGGTTATAACCTGACTTACCACTTACCTGACATACAATGCCCCTTTAAGTGAGACCCTAGGAAAACCTAAGACCCTTCAAGAAAAGCGGTTGGAACGCCTAAGGCCCCAGGAAAAACCGAAGACCCTAGGCCCGAAACGCTCGCAGCGCCGACGGCTTGCAGGTGCTGCGCCTGCCGAGTTTGGGCGGCGGTCGCCGCCAGGAGGAGGCCCTGCGGAAGCTGCTTCCCTCCGAGGCGGCGGTGAAGTCCTGGCGAAGGCGCTTGGAGGAGCGTTTGAGGTGAAACGGGGGTGCACTGTTTTTGGAGGTTTTTAGTGGCTTGTAGTGACTGATTAGTGGTGTTTGGTGTTTGTTAGTGGTTTTTGGTGGTGTTTTTGGTGGTCTTTGGTGGTTTGTGGTGGTATGTGTTCATGGTTTTTGGTGTTGTTTGGTGGTTTTTCGTGTGGCTTTTGGTGGTTTTCCCGTGGTGTTTTTGGTTGGTTTTGGTGGTTTTTGGTATTTTTAGTTAGCCTCGTTGGCTTTCTATTTTACCCATGCGTTTCCAACTTGCTTCGGGAGTTGGTACCCATGCTGTTTTGTTGGTTTTGAAGGGAGCCAAAAGGAAAACAGTCCACTTACCGCATACGCAAAAAAGAGGAACCCATGGGCTCTGAATGCTCACTCCCTTAGTTGGACTTCAATACCCAGGGGGTGGTTTCCTGAAAAGGGTAAATGGGTTTAAGTCTACCGAAGCCAAATCATGGAACATCATGGACCCCCCCAGCCCAAACACCCCCCGCGCCCCCAACGTGGAGGCCCAAACACCACCACCGGACGAGTATCCGCCGCGCTTCTCGCAAGCGAGACACCCAGAACCGCTGATCGCGAGGACCTGCAGCGGGACCGTTGCCGGCGCCTGGACGCCGCGGCGAAGGCCGTACATCCCCTCTTAGGATTTTCCTCCGAGAATCCGCTGTTTCTTGTGGCTTTCAGGCTCATGTGCAGCAACCAAAATCCGGAGCAAATCCTTCCATGTTCATGGCCGTGAAGCAAAGAATTGGAACCTCCATCTGAAATCTATCCCAAGGGTAACGTCAATTTGCGGAGAGGGGCGTTGTTCTGCAGGGAGGATAGATTCAAAGGCAAGCCAACAGGAAACACTATTACGGTTCTCCGCTATGTTGTCAAATACCACCTGAAAGATATTTCTCAAAATCGGGGACCGATCCCACCCCCTGCCATGGACACTTAGAGTCCATTTTGCTGCCAAGGACCACAAAAAAAAAGGAAAGAAAAGAAAAACACATATCTCCAAAAGTTGGTTGCAAAATAGAAGTCCCATCTCCCACCCTGAAGATTCCCCTTGACCCCCCCCCCCTACCCCACCCATCCCCTGCCACCTCCGAGCTGCAGGAGAAGAAGTCGGAGGCGGAGGTGGTGCCTTTGCACTTTGCGATTTCGGAGGCCGACCCCCGGCGGCCGCAGCTGAGGGGCGCGCTGCCCATCGAGCAGATCCGACAAAGCCTCGGCCAGGCACGCGTCTGCGCGGCGCAGGTGGCGTCCCCTTTGGGGTCGGGTGATGTGAACCCCGGATGAATAAACCCCTGGTTGATTCATAGGGGGGTGTCCATTTTGGGGATTCGGGCCACTCCTGGAGGGAAAACACCCCCTAATAGTGGACGGGTGTATTAATCCTGGGTCAACATTAACAGGCTGGCAGCACCTGCCATGATGTGTGCGTGTGTGGGGTGGTTAAAATGGGGCACGTAGCCTTTTCAGATGGGTTTGACGGTCAATCAAACGGATACTGCCATTTGGACATATCCCGGAGTTCCCGACTAAGCGCTTTTGACATCTCTATGGTAGTGGAAAGAGTTGGCACTTTTTCTGGCCCATCCACAGTCAGTCTTTGTTCAAAGTCGTTTGCTTCGCGAAGCATGGACCAGAATCAAACATCTTGTGTTTGGTCGGGTGGTTGGGTGCGCTAACAACAGGAGCCTCACTTCAATAAAAGGCCTTTACACAAAACGCTCGGTTGAAAATCGTCTCAGCATGTAAATCCGCCACTTCAGCCCCATTCAGAAGCGCATAGGTACTGGCTGCAGGGACGGTCGGCAGAAATAAAAGCGGACATCCACGTTTTTGTTCATGCTTTACATGGTGTGGGCTAGTCGGGGGGGGGAAGTAAGAACCAGACATATCCTGTTCTTACCAGGCACCCATACGAACGCAGGTTTCTAAAGGTGCAGACGGCTAGGATCGAAGAGGATGCTAGACCACCTGGGCACTCCAGGTAGGCCATGCACCAAAGAACGTGAAGGCCCAGAAAACGAACACCTCGACATGGTAGCTGTTCTTTTTGGCGGGTTCCTTGTGGTCGGTGTTCGGGAAACCAAGAGGCGGACGAACCTTAGGGTGAATATCGGCCTCAAGGGTTTTTGCACCTCGCCCTCGATCCAGACTGTGCTCGCTCAAAACATCCAACAGTTTATGGTCAATTTGGGAGGAGTATTCGGCACACCCGCTCACTTGCGGGCCTCATTTCCTGGAATCTTCAACCGCTGGGGTACCGATTCCTAGTTTGAGACAACCCAATTAACCCCCCAAGTGTGGCATCGAATCTTTATGGCAATTTGGTGGGATCTTTGGACTTCAGAACTTTTTGGGAAACTCTGGATTTCAGGGTTCCGTTTTTTGAATACCCGAAGGTCGACTTAAACCCAGGGGTTTCCCGTTTGGGGAAGTCTTTGGAGTAGTCAAAAAACGGAACCCTGGTGGATTTTCTGTTGGACCCACAACAACTTACACTTTTTGCAGAGGGGTTGTTACAGCAACCATGGAACTTTGGGGGATGTTCCCGTAGGTGCTCGAGTCTCAGCAGATCTTGGTGATCTCTGGAGGCACCGGCAGTGGGAAGACCACCCAGCTGCCCCAGTTCCTGCTGGACGACTGGCCGGCGTCGTCACCGAAACACCCGCGGAGACTTGGTGAGGGAGGGGATACGGGAATCTCATACTGAAAGAATCAGAAAAGGATCATTTCCTCGAAATGGGAACCACCCCTCAAAGGTGTCCTTTTCAGGTTAGTTTGCATAGAAGTAGACGGATTCCACTGCTTTGCACTTTTTTTTGCTGTCTTCCCGGCCATCCCGTCTATGTTCGCACCCCCTTTGCCTTTGATGAGCTTCTGGCTCTGGACCCTACTAGGTCCCCCAGTATTGCCCTTTTACCGAGGGTTCCTAACCCCTCTACTGGAGGACCTAGGTTGGAATTCACTCTGATGTCATCATTTTGGGTTGCAATAACTCCCAGCTTTACATTGGACATGTGGAGGTTCAGGTGCCCCTAAGTTTCTGAGCCGCACTCCGCGCCGAGATTCGAGCTCCGCGCGGATCCGAGGATCGTGGTGACGCAGCCCCGGCGCATCGCGGCCATCTCCGTGGCGGAGCGGGTGGCCTGGGAGCGGCGCCAGCACCTGGGGCACCAGGCGAGCCCCGCCGGCGCCGGGGGGGGGGAAGGTTTCTCCCAGTGGGCGACGCGGAGCCAACCGGAAAAAAAAAAAAACAAGTCGGGGGGAGGGAGGGGGCTCAAAAGGGGGAAGAAATGGCATGTGTGGGATGGTTACAGGGAAAACTGTGATTTGTAAGAAGACAACAGGGAGTTCGCGAAATTGACACCTTAGGTTCGAGAAACAGCGGGCCACAACTCAGGGGGGAGAAGGGAGGAAACGATTCCAACCCCCTTTCCTCTAACTTCCCCTCCCCCTTTTCCCAACCTTAGGCCTCATGACAAAGAACGCTTGTTGTTCAAACAGCCAGTTGTGAGGGATTCGAGCCCCCCAAGAAAAACATTACCCCCACCATGGCAGCAGGGTTTTGGAACCCTACAATTCCTTTCGCGGAAGTCCTCCGTCCACTTCTTCGAGTGTTGAAAAGAGTGCAGCAAGTGCTTCAAATCCCAATTCGAGTGTCAACTGGGCTCAAAGATCCCCATCTTCCTAGAAATGGAATTGGGGAGAGGGGGCATTTCAATTTCGATCCCCGGAGATCTCCATGGTTCCGGACCCCCACCCCTCCCGGTAAGTCCTGAACATGGGGACTCCCCCCTGCGGACCGGGGGACTTTGCCTCAGGTGGGCTACGCGGTGCACGGCAACGCCGTGAAGCCGCTGGAGAGCGAGGGCTCCATCGAGTTTGTCACGGCGCGGCGAGCGCGTTGCATCGAGCTACTGTGCACGGATGGCTGCAAAATCCAGTTCGCGCTTTGAAACCAAGGCTGAAACCCATGGTTAACGTTGGAATTTGAAGGGAATCGTCATTCCAGGGTTTCTTAGTTGCGAAATCCATTTCGCACCACCCAAGACAAACCCTGGAAGGCTGATTCCCCTGTAAATACCAACAAGACATGGTTTCAGCCATGGATTCAAAGTGGTGCAGGATTTTGTCCATCCACAGTATGGGTTTGTTTTTGTTTTAGGGCCCCAACATGGCGGTTGTACTGTTGGTTTCCCTTGAACAACGACAAAAACACAGGTATCGTCAGAAAAAAATGAGAAACAGACATCAACGCACAGTTCGAAAGCAAACCGCCTATATCGAGAGCGAATCGAATTCACCCTTTAGTGTATGGACCTCGAAAAGCGAATCCACCGGATGTGGACCTTTTTGGCGTCCAGTTGATCAAAGTTTCTTTTTGTTGGTTCCCCCCTCGCGGGTTTTAAGGGGAACCTATCACTGAAAATAACTATGTATATTTTCCCAGAGGGCGTATTCGCACATGGATGTGTAGTAGGTTCCAAGACCAGGTCTGATTGATCTTGTGCAGGACCTTATTCATAGTGGACAGGGGCTTTAGGTGGACTTCTACTACCCGTGTGCTTTTTCGAGGCTACCCTTTCTAGGTGGTTTAAAGGGACACCACAACACAAACACAATTCTTTGGGGTCCCTCTACTGTGGATGGACGAAATCCGCTTCGCGCCACTTTGAAACCAAATAAAAACCATTTTTGGTTGGTATTTGCAGTGGAGTAGTCATTCCAGGGTGTCTCGGTTGGTGCGAAATGGCTTTCAGCCCTTCCGCCAGTATTTTGACACACACCCACACCCTGGAGTGCCCATGTACAGTCCCGGATACGTGCAAGGCGCATGCCTTGGGGCCCCAAGCATTCGGCCGTGCAACTTTGTGCAACTTTGCGTGTGTGTGTTTTTTTTGGGCGTCGCTGGTTTTCTGCCTTCTTTCTTTTTTAACACCAAACAACGAAAGCGCTTAAAGGAGGCGGCTTTCCGTTTCGTGTCCCTGAAACACCACCAAAAAAAGGTGCCCTCGCAAAAACCCGACACGCCCCCTTGTTTGCTCGTCTCGCTGTTTGTGGATGACTGTTTCCCCCTTACTCCCGGGTGGGCATGGGGCAGAATGGAACCACCAGGCGACCACAGGTTTCCATGTTTCCACTTGCCAGGGTCATTTGGGGTACCCATTTTTGACCCACAGCCAGGTGGGCACGCTGCTGCGGCGGGCCGTGGGCGACATGTGCCTGCAGCAGTGCGACTGCGTCATCGTGGACGAGGTGCACGAGCGCGACATGCTCACGGACGCTTGACTGCTATTGGGTAACGGATCTTTAGACTTACACTTTTTGGTTGAAATCAAGTTAAGTTTTCCACTAAACCCACAACAAGTTAAACTTTTTGGTTGAAATCTTTGTCTGTTTTCCACTAAACCCACAAAAAGTGATACTTTTTGCAGAGGGGTTGTTACAGCAACGAAGGACTTCCTGCTGATCCTGCTGCGGGAGGTGTTGCAGGCGATGGGGAGTGCAAAGGGTGGCGTTCTTGGGAGGGAGTCTGTGTGTGTGTTTTTTTGGTGGGGGGTGGTTTGCAGGCCCATAAGCGGTGCCAGGTGCAAATATAGAGGAAAGGCGAGATAATGCTGAGTATGGGCGTCTGTTTATGATCAAGTATGACTCAAAGTCAAGCAACCAGCAAAATTCCCAGAGAGATAGAGAGACTGCGAGACCCGGACACAGGCAGACAGGCAAACCAGCGAAACCAACACCAACACCAACGCCAACACCAATCCATCCATCCACCAACCAACCAACCAACCAACTAACCAACCAACCCACCAACCAAGCAACCCACCAACCAAGCAACCAACCACCCAACCAAGCAAGCAACCAACCAACCAACCAACCAATCAACCAACCAACCAAGCAACCAAGCAACCAAACAACCAACCAAGCAAGCAATCAGTCAATCAGTCAGTCAACCAACCCAACCTAGCCAGCAATCAGTCAATGAATCCAACCCAGTGGAGAATCCGATTCTTCCTCGGCGAGGTGAGGCCAGACCTGCGGTTGGTCCTGATGAGCGCCACGCTGGACGTGCAGGCCTTCACCGAATATTTCGATCAGTGCCCGGTGCTGGAGGCGAGGGCTGGGACGGCGGGGGGCAAGCCGGGTGTTTTTCCTTTCATTTTTTGTTTAATGATTTTTCAATGGGCAGGGTCTTTTCAGCGTCCCTCGAATTGGCGGTTTTTACTGGTGCTTTGGGGAGTTGACAGTTGATTGTCTGGGTTCTATTCCAATCACCAATTCGTGGGAAACTGAGTACTGTTGATCAGGTATCCCTTAACCATCCTAAACTCTATCCACACCTGGAACCAACTCGGCTCCAGACGACCACTGGCACCTGCGGAACCAACAAATGACGATTCAGAGCTTGAAAATCCGGAGGTTTTGATTTTTCCCCAACAGCTGAAAGCTTTTGGGTCTCAGCCCAGATATGCTCCGGGTGGTCCGGGGCGGCCCTGAGGTAAGCTTGTAAGGTTCCACACAATTTCTTTCCAAAAGAATCTAGAGAATGGAAGGCAGAACCGGACCAGGCAAATTTTGCCCGGGCTTTCCGGAACACGCTCTTTCTCCTAAAGCCGGCGGTCCATGGACGGCTTGGATTTTTGAGTTCTGTGGACCCGGCTTTACAGAGGCGGCCTAAGCAAAGCCAGGCACATGATTTGGGTGTGGCTCTCCGAATGAAACGACCGGAGGGGTGGGTTCCGCAGGTTTTGGCCTTTGTTTCCACTGACCGATCGGGCAAGCCATTTTGGAATTCCGGGTTTTTTGAATTTGCCACAGCCATTTATGGGTTGGATTGATAAGGGTTCCACGAGGGTTCCGCGAGGCTGGGAGGGTGTGGTGCTGGGGATATCGCCGGATCCAACACGAAAGGCAAGCCCCAGGATGACGCTCTCTAGGTCCAACCTTCAAAAAGTTGGCAAGTCCAAAATATTACAGGGCGCCTTTTTGATGCTTGTTTCCCTGTCGGTACCACTGTGAATGGACTAAATCCTGCACCACTTTGAAAACCATGGGAAGCCATAGTTTGCGGGTATTTACAGGGCAATCATCGTTCCAGGGTTTCTTAGGTGGGCCCTTTTCGGCCTAAGCACGGCTTGTTGGGGCCTCATCAGGCCTGTTTTGGGGTCGTTTGGGGGAATGTCAGGGCGAAGCATGGCGCATTTTCCCGAGCAATCCGGACGCCTTGACTACTATTGGGTTGGATCTTTAGACTTTAACTTTTTAGGGACTAAACCCACAAAAAATTAAACTTTTTGCAGACGGGTCAACAGCAACAAAGACGCGAGGTGCAGTCGGAGAGCCTTTATCCGGTGGAGGAGGCCTACTTGGAGGACCAGTTCTTCGCCAACTTCACGTTCACCCAGGTCTCCTGGTCAAAGAAATTGGATCCCACGACCCCCGTGGAGCCCAGTCACCGTTCTTTTTTCGCGTTTTTTTTGTGGGGAGGGTTCCCTCCTTGAAACTCAACGGACCCTAAAAGGATGTCCTCTCTTTTTCCCCTCACTGGGCATCTGCGAAGAATCTGATGATGATTATGTTTTATTTCGGATTCATCGGGAGACCCTGATCAAAGGAACCCGGAATCTCTTGGCAGGCGGACCACTCCGGATTAATCTGAAGTGGACATTAACCCTTAGGTCGTGGTTTGGGGATTTGAACCCTTGTTTGGCGGTTTGGATTGACCTCCCCAATTCACACCTCCAAACCATCGATTCGGCTCCAACCCAAACTTTTTCAGGGAAGCGGGAAACAAAGCCTGGTTGTGCAAAGACGCAGGGGGTCGCTGGATTTCCCCGTCAGAAGTTGCTCAATTTACTGGCGTTCTGTTGGAATTGCCACTTTTGGAGGTTCAACAAGGGAAATGTCTCGGGGACCTGACAGTTGATTGCTGCATGGGTCACAACCTATGCCTCCATTGGGCAGATGAACACCCATCCACCTATTTTGATGTTCGCCAGGCGTTTTCTGGGTTTTGACCCGCCGCATCTTAGGCGCTGCTCAGCCTTGAGGAGCAGGCCCGAAGCGCGAAGGCGAAGGAGAGAAGTGTGGTCACTCGTGAGGCGTCTGAGCTGACGTCTGCGAAAACAAAGAATCAAACAAGCAAAAAGCAATCACGGCAAGCAACATATCTAGGTCCCCCAGTATACTGCCTTTTGTTTAACCCTTTTTTTGGGGGAGGGTTCCCCTACTAAAATATACAGAATAAAAAAGGTACCCTTTTTCTATCCTCTACTAGAGGACCTAGATATAGCACATATGTGGTCGAAGCGCAGACTAGTTTGCGATGTTTGTTCCGCAACAAAAAAATCCCAATCCGAAGAAGCTTGATTTTTTTGAAGTGCGTTGTGTTTGCGGGACCCCTTTTGTGGTTTCAAAGGTAAACCCATGGGGAAACCTATCCATTCTTGACCTTCTGCATTCGTCTTTTGGGGCCTTGTTTCGGCTACTGGGCAGCTTCTCATTTTGAGTCAGATGCGCATCCTGAGACAAGCCCATGCCAAAGGCCCTTCAGGTCATCCTCCTTGCCTCATTTACTTGAATTTTCGGCTGACCCCAAACAAGATCAGAGAAATCTCCTTCTGGGGAAGGAACTCCGTCCATTTGAAGAGGGCGACTTTTTGGAGGACGGCCCACCATGGGGGGGGGGGGCAGAGTTTGGCTGCGCTCATGAGGGAAGTCAAAACAGTCCCCCCCCCCATTTGTTTGTTGCGCGCACCTAGGGCTGTGGCCGGTTCTTTGGAGGCCACGGTTTTTCATGAGATTTGAGCGAGGAGGAGGGCGCTTGGGATGGCTACGACGTCGGAGAGATGGATAAGCTTTTGGACGTCGTGGACAGCGCGCTCTGCGCTGTGGTGGACGAGCTCCAGGACGATTCGCGGAGCTCCAGGCGGGTGCATGGAGACGGCCGGGACGGCCTGAGCAATGGTAGAGGGAACCAGGATGACTCAATCCTTCCATTCGCTGAAATTTGGATTATTCTTTTGCATTTCCCCCTGTTGATTTCAAAGGGAACCGATTTCACTGCTGGAGATATTTTTCTCATTTTTTGCAGGGCTTCAACAAATGGAAGAACCGGTTCACTGCTTGGGTGTTCGATGCCCGATGTATCTTTTATGTGGACTTGACATGGGTATGGGTCAAAATGAAACCACCAGGCGGACCGCAGTTTGTGGTCCATGTTTCCTTCTACCAGGCTTCCATGTTGGGTACCTATTCTTGACCCACAGCCACATGCTGACTTGCTCTTCCTCTGATCCTGGCTGAGCTTCTGGACTTCGGACACTTTTCGGATTGGTTCGCCTGGGTCATTTGGGGCGTGGCTCTCAGAATTTTTCACGGCCGGTGTGGGTTCCGCAGGTTGAACCGTCCATGTTTTTCCACTGACCGATCGGGCAAGCCATTTTGAGCCACAGCCATTTATAAGCCCTAAGTGGAGTTCCACCTTGTTAGTGGGTTTCGACCGGCCTAGTCGGGCTCTCATGTGGAAAGAAAGGAGCGCTTGCTCCCAAAAGCACAAGTTCGGAGTTGTTGGCTTCAGACGTTTCCTACAGGTCCTCTAAAGGACTTTGGCTTTGGTTTGCACTTTTTTTGGGCTTCCCTTAACCAATTCAACGTGTAGGATCACCCGTTTCCGCATGCTGTCTCCCCGTGTCCAGGGGCAATGACACAGTCTGCTGACGTCTGGGGGCTGTGAGCACCAGTAAGGGCTCAGGATGTGTGAGCCGCATCAGGAAAGTTCTCCTAGATATTCCTGGGCCCCCAAAACATCTGACATCCTCCAAATGATCCGAAATGATTTTTGGCTGAGGGTCAAAACCAATGGAAATCCAATTTTGGGGTAGGCGCACCACCCATTTTAGGCTTTATTTTGTTGGATTGGGATGTTCACTGGGGGCTAACCGATTTGGATTTTGAAAAGCCCATGGCCATCTCCGTTTTAGAGGGGAATCGATTCTTGCCAAGTCATTCGGACGACTCCAAACTCGTTTTCTCTCAGACTGCCACCGGTCCTACGAGTTCCCCCAGCCTCAGGGGCTCGGTGCTTTGCTTTTTGCCCGGCTGGTCGGAAATCCGGCAGCTGGAGGAGCGGTTGGGACGACATACGACTTCCATTGGCTGAAATTGGAGGATTCTTGCAGCTTCCCCCGTTGGTTTGGAAGGGAATCGATTTTACTGGAAACATGTGCTCATTTTTTTCCCATGAATAAGCAAATGGAGTCAGATGTACGAACCCAGAAAACAACTGTTTATTTGTAAAGGATCCGGCTTTTTGGACATGCGGACACGGGGTTCCATGTTAACTTCGGGAGTGAATTGCGGGGTTCAGAGCCGTAGCAAGAGTGGGAAGGTGAATGATACGCGAGCCATGCTAAAGAAGCCATTGCAGCCTAACCGAGTCGTGTACCTTCCAAAACACGGGTACCTTCCAAAACACCCACCCAAATGGTTGGTTTTGGGTGGATACCAAGCAAGTCGTGGGAATGAGCTCTAAGGGTGTTTCTCAAAATGGTCCCCTAAAGTCCTCGGCTTCCTTTATTGGTCTTCCTTTAAATCCCTAGATGAAGACGATGCCAGCCATCTTAGGAAGCCACAGAAACGCAGAAATTCCTTTAGCACCGAGCCTTTAGAGCCCCTCCTTGAACCATTTGGGGTTATGTTGGGGCAGCCTTCCCTGTTGTTTGCTGTTTTTTGTTGTCTTTTTGTTTTGCTTTATATATATATATTATACATGTATGTGTATATATATATATATATATATATATTCGGTTCATTTCTAGTACGGGGGCTGCAAAACTACCATACGAATGGTTGGAAAGGGATCCCTCAGAAATTTGTGTGGTTTCCCTTTATTTTCTCTTTAAACCCAGAGACGGGTACCTTTACTCAAGAAACACGCACAACCGTTCATACTATGGATGGTGGCGAAATCCAGACATCGCACGAAATTAGAAGCCCAACGGAATGGTTCTGTTTCGATTCCCCTGCAAATACCTACAAACAATGGTTGCAACCATGATTTCAAAGTAATTTTCATGATTTCGTCCATCCACAGTATTTGGGGTTGACCAGTGGTTTATCCCAACCATTGGTAGTTCCATAGGTTTAGATCTTTTCAGTTGGTTCAGAGGTATTTTCCGTATTCAGCCCACAAGTTAAACTTTGTAGAGCAGGGGGATCTGAAAATGGACAGCCGCTTTAGCGGAGGAGCGGCTGCAGAAGGGCGACAAAGCGAAGCAGATCTGGACGGTGCCCTTGCACTCCACGCTGCCAAAGGAGCGCCAGCAGTCTGGCCCAAATCAATAATCACACCGCCGTCCGACGGCCGGGAGAGCCGTGCTTTGGGGCCATATCCAAGCTCACCGATCCGGGGGTATATTGAGCTCAGCATGATAAAAAGATCCTTTACTTGCGGATCCCTTACTTCAGCCTTTGGCGTTATAGGAGCGTTTGCAGATCTCATGGCTCCTTCCTGGTTTTCGGCGAGCTCACCGGGCGAAGGACAATTTGGAACTACTGTGGATGCACGAAATCCATTTCGCACCACCTAAGAAACCCTGGAATGGTTTGATTCCCCTGCAAATGCCAACAGACAATGGTTTCGCATGGTTTCAAAGTGGTGCGAAGCGGATTTCGTCCACCCCCAGTATCCTATTTTCTGGCGAGCTCCGGGGTGTGTGTGTGTGTGTGTAGGAAAAGACTGTGTTTTGAGCCAAGCCAATGAGTTTAGCCCCAATTGGAGCTACAAATATTTTGCAGAATGGACAATACCCAGTGCGAGGGGAAGCACAAGGAGGTAAGTTTAAAGAGGTGGTTGAACGAAGCACTTCCGGCACCAATCAGCCCCCCACCCTCCTCAAAAATTGGCTTCGGGTGGAGAACGCTCATGGCTCTTCAGGCAGGTTCGTGGTCGATCCGGTCTATTTCAGAGTTTTCGAGCCATTTCCCTTTTTCGAACCCTCCAAAAGTGGCATGTTTCATGAAACCGAAGTAAATTGCAACTTTTGCAGGGGACATGCATGTATTGGGCCTCCTGGTCCAACAAAAAAGGTCCCGTGTCCAGGTCCATACAGTGGATGTGCAGAATCCCTTTCGCACCATGTTTCGGAAGCCCAACGGATTTTTTTGACTTATAAACTAGGTCCTCCAGTAGTGCCCGTGGGGGAGGGTTCCCCTACTAAAATAGACTACAGAAAAAGGGTACCCTTATTCTAACCTCTCTACTGGAGGACCTAGTAAATATTAACAAACAATTGCTTCAACCGTGGTTTCTTAGGTGGTGCGAAATTGATGTCTCGTCCATTCACAGTGGGGGTAAGATCATGTTTTGAGCCGCTTTCGTCCTTCATGTTTGGTGGTTGCTTAGTTGAGTGATCATCATTAGTCCGGGATTGGCCACGACGGAATGGAAAAAAATACTGAGGGTTTGCGAATAGGACATGTTAACCCCCCTTTCAACATCACCTCTTGGGCTCGGAAATAGCGAGTTTCCTTTGCGAGCAACGGTGGGCAAGTTGTAAAATCAGCATCTCGTTGAGTTGCCCTGCAGTTTCTCGTTGAGAAGTTCGACCTGGTAGAAGTTCAGCCTCTTGGGGCCGCTAGAAATGGGAGCCCAAGGGCCAACCAGGTCATTTCAGGTCGAGCCGCTTTTCGAGCGAGTCTTGGCCGGCGTGTGGAAAGCCTGGGCCTTCCGTGTTCGCCCCGCAAGACTCGCGCAAAGCGAAAGCGCGCTTGAGGCAGCGGGTTTTCCAGAAGCCGCCCAAGGGCAAGGTGAAGGTAATTCTTGGCACCAACATCGCGGAGAGCTCTGTGACGATCGATGACGTGGAGGCCGGAGCTGAGGGGTGGGGGCTGCTTGGCACCCGGTCCATGTTTGTATCGTCTTTTTTTGGGATCCCTTATTTCGGGTTTCCCAGCCATTTCCCTTTTTCGAACCTCCAAACAATGGAAACCACGAGTAGATTGCAACTTTTGAAGGGGAAACCCAGTGACCCTGGCTATGTCAGGCCTTATTTCAGGTTTTGGAATAATTGTAGAGTTTGCAGATTGTTCACTACAGGGATCCTAATATTGGCAATGTGGGTCTACCCTTTTGTTGAAGGCCCTTTGTGGGCACGGAATCAAAGGCAAGCAAGAAACCGACAATTTTGGAGTTTCCGCTTGAAGACAAGCTCCTGTGTCCCCTTTGGGAGTAGTTTGAGCATCACCTGTTGGGGTAATCGTTTTATTTGTCGGTAGGGTGAAGTCGGTGTTGAAAGGGGAGCCACTCACACTTTGGTGCATTTTGCTTGGATGTTAGGACTTTAACTTTTTGCCAACTAATGTGTTTTCCACTATAAACCACTAAAAGTTAAACTTTTAGCAGGGGAGCAGATTTTGCAACCGAGCACAGTCACACTTCATTGCCAGCTTTTTCCAGCTTCTTTGCGCTTCTCAGTATCCCTTTCAACCGGCTAACGTTTAACCTTTTCAACAGTTTCCGCCTCAAAAGGAGGGTGGGCCCCTATTCCACATACAAAAATACAATAAGTATCAAGAACTGAACCCTGCCTGTCTCTTTTCTTCCTTGCACACTTGAGCTTGGTGCACTTTTGCTCCTGGCCGCGAAGCTTTTGCTCATCTTACCCTGATACTCGTCTCATTTTAGTCATTGTCGCCATGGTTGCGTTGAGCCGCAGCATCTTGCGCCTGTGCCTTGTCCTCCTTGCGGTGGTCCAGTCGAAGAGTGATCAGTGCGAGGGTGCGAAGTCAGCAAGCGCAGTGCTGCTTCAAGCTTCTACCGCTGCCAACCGCACGCTTCAAGCTTCTACTGCTGACCACACGGAGGCAGAGGTTGCAGAACGTATTGAGCAGGACTTGGAGGACATCGAAGATTCCTTGGCGGAGAGAGCCCGCGCCCGTGGGGACTCTGAACTGGAGCTGGAAGATGCGGTCCAGGGCAAGAACTCGAGGCGCCGGCGCAGCCGACGGCGTACAACCACCACAACAACCACCGTGAACTGCGGGTCCAGCACAGACTCCTACTCCCTTGCCTTCACGATTTATGGGGGCAGCTGCCTCGAGGGTCCCAACACTGGAGGTGCAGCGAGCTTGGACACCGCCAGCTGCAGCACGAACTCCAACAACCGGGACCAGTTCTTGTTTGTGGATCAGGGAGATGGGTACTGCACGCTCCAGTCTAAGTACGGCACCCGTCGCCGCAGTGCCTCAGGAAAGTCGGTGACCTGTGGAACGAGCTCAATGTCTGTGGCTTACTGCAAGGCCCAAGGGAGCCAGAGCTACACCAAATTGAAGCTTGAAGATCTCGGCAACGACAAGTTCACCATGTGGTGGTATGACAGCTCAGGAAACGTGAAACAGGCCAAGAGGGGTGCAGGCGGGATCAAGCTGGCAGATTATACCAACACTGATGAGCCTGATTTCAAGCTCTACAAGAACACGGTCTACAGCAGCACCTGCCTTCTGAGCAAGAATGATCTTGGCCTCAGCTGCTGGAAGTGAGCGCGCTTTCTTGCAGGCAGCATCTCAGAAGGTTTCATGCGTTCATGTTGGTGTGAGTTAGCAATGGGCGACCTGGATTGAAATGGCCTTTTCAAGGTCCCTTGATACATCTTGATACCCATGTAGTGAGAATATCACTCAGAAGGTTTTGGGTTGTCGGCGACATCCAATCACCTGGTAGACTCTGCGGCCTGTGTAGCGGGCGTGCACCAAAAATGCAGCTCAAGTATTTTTCTTGGGTGCCAGTTTCCAGCCTGGTAGGTAGCCAGGGATGTCCTTTCCAGTTTTTTGAACGTCCAAACCCACCGTTAACGTGAAAATGCAACGCAACATTCTTGTGTTCCGGAAACGACCAGTACGTGAGCCAAAAATGAGCACCGCAACGCCAAATGGTGGTGACATCGTGACTGTCTGCAACAACCCAAAGCTGTTATACGATCGGAAGGTGGTTTTGTTGGTTGCAATAAGAACTGGAAGGCACTCTTCTCACCAACAACTCCATGTTTGGAGTTTGGAGACCGGGCTCCGGGCTGCCGCTTTTTCACGGATCTTGTGGGTGTTTTTCTTGATCTTGAGGTGCAGATTCAGATACTTCCCTAAGAATTAACGGAAGGGTGGCTGAATCAAGGGTGTGCATTTCCCAACAAGGAGTATCAGATGCATATCTGCCATCCAAAGATCCTGAACGATCGTCAATTGTCTGAAGCGGTCTTGTAATTTCTGTCAAGGGAGCCATGGCTTGATTGCCATTGGGTTGGATCTTTAGACTTCAACTTTTCGGGAAATCAAGTTGGTGTTCTGTGTTGAACCCACAGAAAGTGAAACAAACCCGTTTTGCAAAGGGGGTTCCTCCACAGCAACCAACATACTGTGGATGGACGAAATCCATTTCACCACTGTGAAACCAGGGTTGAACACATGGTTGGTTGGTGTTTACCGTTGGGGAATCCTAGCATTCCCCGCGTTGGCGCGATTCTTCTGGATTTCGCGAAACCATCCACAGTAGTTAAACAAAAACAAGTTGGTTTCCCATTGAGCCCACAAAAAGTGAAGAACACGTTTTGCACAGGGGTCGTTTCAGCAACTACCATATATATATATATAGGTCCCCCCAGTAGTGCCCTTTTACCCTTTTCTGGGCAGGGTTCCCCTACTAAAATAGACCATAGAAAAAAAAGGTTGGTACCCTTGTTCTAACCTCTCTAATCTGGAGGACATATATATATATATAAATAAATAACATATATATATATACCTGGACCCTCAAAAAGGAACATTTTTTTGCTCATTACGTTATTTTTGCTCATTTTGCCAATTGAGCGGAATTTCCGAAATCTACGCGGAAACTGCAAATTTCATGTTCCGCACCCATTTTGTGGCAAATCCTGCAAATTTGGCCACCAGAAATGCGCGGAAATCGGCGGAAAATGCGCGGAAATCGGCGGAAAATGCGCGGAAATCGGCGGAGAATGCGCGGAAATCGGCGGAAAGCCCAAAACCAACTTGTTTTGAACATGGCTGGTCGAACCGAAATGTGTGTTTTTTGTGTAAATGAGCGTGTTTTCCAACAATGCGTGTTTTTTTTTGCTTTTTAAGGAACATGTTGGGAAATTGTTCTCAAAGAAGATCTAGGTATATATATATATATATTTAAAGGGGCCAGCGCCTTGGCATCCGTGGCACCCGGATCTGTCAGGTGGTCATCGACTCGGGCCTGCACCGCGAGCTCACCTACGACCCCAAGCGCCGGATGTCCTCCTTGGACACCGAAGCTTGGCCCAAACGACGCGCGAAGCTGCGCGGAGCCAGGGCTGAAAGGGAAGCGAGCCAGTTTTTGGGGCTGAAAGGGAGCCAAAAGCAAACCAACCTTTGGGGATCCCTTCAAGGAAACCAGAAGCGGACCAACCAGTCTTGAGGATCCCTATTTTGAGGCACACAGAATGACCCCCTGGAGCGTGTTTCCTTTTTTGCTGCCCCTTTGCAGCGCCAGAACATGTGCCCAAAAGCGGTTTTTGCTTGAACAGACTTGCCGGTTTAACCAGCCATCCGGTTCAACTTCGGCTTTTCAGGCTTTTATTTGCTGTTGTTTTTCTTCTTTTCTTTTGTGTGTGTGGGGTGCCCATTTTCCCAATCGTGAACAAAATCTTCAATGCGCCCTTGAAAAAAGAGGATGGGCTTCCGAAACCCTGTCTACTCTTGGTTCCCAGTCATCCCCTTTGGCTTGTGGGTTTTTTCCCGAAAGCATGGCGAAGGGTATTCCGTTGGGTTCATGGGAGTTATCATCATGAGAGTCATTGCAAAGAGTGATCATCATCATCATCATCATCATCATCATCATCATCATCATCATCATCATCATCATCATCATCATCATCATCATCATCATCATCATCATCATGAGACTCGTTGCACAGAGTCATTGCACAGAGTCATTGCACAGAGTCATTCCACAGAGAGTCACTTGCGAGGCGCAATGCTCGTGAGAGTGGCTGGCGAGGAGCAATGCTCGTGAGAGTCACTGGCGAGGAGCCATCTTGGGGCGGCGGGGTAGGGCCGACAACACTCTACGAAAGCCAACCCTCTGCGGGGATCAGCGTGGTCGACGTTAAAAAACTGAGGACATTGTACGATTTCTGCAGTGCGCGCGCGACCCTCTGCGGAGATCGGCGTGCTCGACGGTAAAATGCAGGACTTCTTGCGATTTCTGATCTGTGCGCGCGACCCTCTGCGGAGATCTTCTGTGGTCGATGCTAAAGAACTGAGTGCGTTTTACGATTTCTGCGGTGCGCGCGCAACCCTCTGCAGAGATGCGCGTGGTCGATGTTACAAAAAAACTGAGGACTTTTTACATGCCCAAGCGACCCTCTGCGCAGATCGGCGTGGTCGATATATTGAAACTAGACCACGGTTGGCCCGAAAGCATCACAGTCCCTCGCAAGATTTTAGCTGGACGTGCAATCTGTCAGCTACAAACAGCCATCAGCTACAGCAAGAGGAGCACTAGGCGTTTCCTCTACTCTGGAACAAGAGGAGCACTTCACTTTCGATTGTTGCTCGCGACCTCCGGCTTCGTGGCAAGCAGGCCCCAGACCATGTCATTCTCTTCCGTGAGCGCGACAGTCCGGGCCCCATTTTCAAGCGCTCGAGCCATCTAGAAATGGAGATGCGTCGCGTGCAATGTAAATGATTGTGCTTGCAAGGCGCTCTTCAATGTACGTGCAAAGCCGAGAAGGCCCCAGACCATGTCCTTCTCTTCCGTGAGCGCGACAGTCCGAGCCCCATTATCAAGCGCTCGAGCCATCCAGAAACGGAGATGCTTTTCGTGCAATGTAAATGAATGTGCTCGCAAGGCGCTCTTCAATGTACGTGCAAGGCTATTCCAAGCATGCGCATACAGACAGACACACAGACGCGGACACACAGACACACAGACACACAGACACACAGACAGACAGACAGACAGACAGACAGACAGACAGACAGACAGACAGACAGACACGCAGACACACATACAAACAATCAGACAGACAGACAGACAGACGGCAGGCAGGCAGACAAACAGACAGACAGAGACAGAGACAGAGGCAGACACAGACACAGACACAGACACAGACAGACAGACAGGCAGGCAGGCAAGCAGGCAGGCAGGCAGGCAGACAGACAAACAGACCGTGACACTCGCGATGACTCTCTATGCAATGATTCTCATGAGAATAATTCTCCCAGCGGAACAATCTGAGCTTTGCTGCTCTGCTTGAGTTGCCCTGTGCTGGCTTCTCTGCGCAAGTGCTCTGTGGAAGTTGCTCTGCGCAGGTTGCTCTGCGTAAGCGCTCTGTGCAAGTTGCTCTGCGCAAGTGCTGCCGCAGCTTTCGGGAAGTACTTCGCATACTAGTTTTGTCCTTGAAAAGTTCCATTGTGCAGGCGGAGCTGCAGGACTGTACTGCGCGTACTACATTTGCACTCAAAAGTTGCGATTTTCCAGCGCTTGAAAGTTGTCGATTTCTGTCTAGAAAAGCTGCCGCGGGCCAGGCGGGGATCGAACTCGCGACAGTGCGACTTCGAGAGCAGCTGCGCAAACCACGCGACAACTTCCAAAGACTAGTTCGCAAGCGACAAATACGCACGGCGCCACAGCGAGAGCGCTTCGACACTCACAATCCCGCCGCAGCGACAGCGCTTCGACCACACCGATCTCCGCACAGGGTCGCGGGAACTGAGTCCTCACTGTTTCAATATCGACCACGCCGATCTGTGCAGAGGGTCGCTCGGGCATGTTAAAAATCGTACAAATCCTCAGTGTTTTTTAACATCGACCACGCCGATTTCCGCAGAGGGTCGAGCGCGCACCGCAGAAATCGTGAAACGTCCTCAGTTCTGTAACGTCGACCACGCTGATCCCCGCAGAGGGTTGGTTTTCGTAGAGTGCTGTCGGCCCTACCCCGCCGGCCTAAGAAGAGCAGAAAACTCCTCTCATGAGAACTCTCGTGAGCATGGCTCCTCGCCAGTAACCTTCACGAGCATTGCTCCTCGCAAGTGGCTCTCATGAGCGTTGCTCCTCGCCAGTCACTCTCACGAGCGTTGCTCCTTGCCAGTGACTCTCACGAGCGTTGCGCCTCGCAAGTGACTCTCTGTGCAATGACTCTGTGCAATGGCTCTGTGCAAATGTCTCTGTGCAATGACTCTGCGCAATGACTCTGCGCAATGACTCTGTGCAATGACTCTGTGCAATGACTCTGTGCTATGTCTCTGTGCAATGAGTCTCATGATGATGATAACTCTTTGCAATGACTCTGATGATGAAAACTCCCATGAACCCAACGGAAGAACCCTTCGCCATGATTTCGGGAAACCTGAGGACTTTTTACGATTCTTAATCTGCGCGCGCGACCCTCTGCGGAGATCGGCGTGGTCGAAGCGCTGTCGCTGCGGCGCCGTGCAAATTTGCAAAGTGCCCGATGAACCCTCTGCGGGGATCGTGCGTGTCGAACTTGTTGCTTGCGTTTCCCATTTACCCTCTACAAGAGGTTCAAATCCAAATCCAAACCACAAATCCAACCACCAATTGAGGGGAACCTGATTGATCACACGGGTTCCAAAAAAATGCCCCGGCAGGATTGAAACCCAAACCCTTTGCCAACTTTCGACTGCGTTTTCGCTCCTAAACCGCCAAAACCTGAGGCACCCAACGTGCCTGTTTTTTTAGGTACGAGAAAAAACCGTCCGAATTACCGATTTCTGCTCGACCCCCCAAAAAACGCTCGCCCCCCCGAAAAATGCTCGACCACGTCCCCTTCTTCCATCCAGAGGAAGGCGGGATTGTTACGTTTTTTGTTTTTAAATTTGCACTCCTTTGCAGATATTGCGCTCGTTTTGCGGATATTTGCGCTCGTTTTGCACTTCGATTTCTGCTCGCTCCTTTTGAATATTCAGCGACCGATCATTTTGGAGGACCGACCAGCCCGGTTTTGCGAAAAGCGCTCGAAGCAGGAAACAAATGTACGTTTACCATAATTTTTTTGTGACGACCCCTGGTTTTGCAATACGTTTGGGCTAAGGGCAGAAATTTATGTAACGAGGGGTGCTCCAGGAACAAACCAACAATTTGTGTTTTTGTTAGGTTTTGGGTTTCTGTTCATTTTTTAGCGGGCTGCAACAATCAGTCAGTTGTTTGCAAGCCCATACTGTTGGGGTTGGACCGTTTAAGCGAAACAAACCGAACCAAGCCAAACCACCAATGAACAGAGGTCACTGGATTTCCCCTCCAAGAGTTTATAGGTAGTGTCCATTGGAATTGCCACTTTTGGAGTTTCAAGGCAAATGGAGGACACTCTGAGCAGTCAAGGGAAACGGCTGCAAAAAAGCAGACCCCGGTTCTTGCAAGGTCATACCGTTAGGGTTGGAGAGTCTAAGATAAACACACCCAACCAAACCAAACCACAATTTAAGAGGGGTCACTGGATTTCCCCTCAAACTTTAGACGTGGTTTCCATTGAAATTGCCACTTTCGGAATTTGAAGGGAAATGGCTGACACCCCGAGTAATCAAGGGAAACCTGAGTCTGCTCATTTTTAGTGGGCTGCAACAGAAACAGAACCCGTTTCTTGCAAGCCCATACCGTTTGGGTTGGAAAGTTTTAAGGGAGACACACCCAACAAACCAAACCACAAATTAAGCGGGGTCACTGGATTTTCCCTCAAACTCGACAGGTGGTTTCCATACTGTTTGGGTTGGACACTTTTAAAGGGGCAACCCTCGCCTGGGCTCTTGCCAAGGTCTGGATCTCCCAATCCTCCGCGGTGCAGCGCCGGGGCCGCGCGGGCCGGGTGCGCGCGGGCCGGGTCTTGCGGCTCTACAGCCGGGATCAGCTGCAGGCGAGTCGGGCACGCGCGAGTGCTTGGGACCTTGGCCGGGGCTATTCCAGGTGCCTTTCTTGCGTTCATGCTTTCGCTCACCTGACGCACATCAAAGACGGCTTCCCGCGGCTTGTCTATAGCTTCCAAGAGAAGTTTTACCAGGCAGCAGGAAGCAGGCCAAGAGACGACCAGCAGTTGTAGCATTCTTCAAACGCATCTCTGCATGCAGACTAGGGTGACCCCAACAAAAGAGAGCCATCAGGTTTTGGCCGTCCCTTTTGGAAATCCTTGAAAGTCATCAGCAAACGGGTACCTGGACCTCAAAATTCCGTTAAACATTGGTTATTGACCTCAAAATATGGGGTGACCGCTGGGGGGTTCGGGTTTTTGAGTGACCCCGAACTGAACCGCCAAGTGGTGGTTTTCTTTAAGGGGAGCCCTGGGTTCATTCCATTTCTCATTCCCCACCTATCGCACCAGGAAAACACCAAGGATCTGAGGCGAAAGGAGGTCTAGTAGGCACTGTCCATTGAGAGAAGTTTTTATCCAGATCCGTCCCTACGGATGCCAAAAATGTCCATGGTTCTGTGGTGCATCATCTATAGGTTAGGATTGATGTCCACCAACCACTTACGAGGTGTTTCTTTGAAACAAATCATTCCTACGTTTCTCCTTTGTGCAGAGGGTCCAAACCGCAACTCCAAACCACCGATTAAAGGGAAGCTGATTGAACATCAGCGTTGGGGGCAATTTGTAGTGAGGTTTCTTTTGGGTGATGGTTTAGGACCCTGAGGTACTTAGGGGTAAAGGTACCAAAATGGGCACTCCTCCTTGGGTTCAAATGCCCCTTTTGGGGAACCCGTCCATTGAGGTGTTTTCCTCTCAATTGTGTAAAGCTAGAATAGGCAGTTGCTTATAAAGGCTGCAGGTTCCCTTTGGCTACCTAGTACACAGGGTAAATGGGCATGTGTCGACCCCACTGAAGATGTACCAACACATGGTGAATAGGAGGATCTCAAGAATTGTTGGAAATGGTGAATACGGACGACCAAAGAAATGGATCTCGTCGCAGGATGGACGTCAACAGGGGGCGTCTTTGTGAGAAAGTGGGCGACCTCCTCGTAGTGAAGGATTCCGTTTTGAGGGGGTCGCCAATTTTCTCACAAGGAGTGGCAAAAAGACACCCCTGAACGTCAATGCACCACTACTCCTGGCTCATTGGAAGGGACGACGCATGCCATGGGTGGGTAATTTCATCACCTTTCGGTTGCCATTTTGGAGTCAGCTTGCGGGCGTCGGGGCGTTGGGGATCTGGGACCAGCTGGTTGGTGCGCACTCTCCGAGCTCCATGATTCAACTCCCGTTCCTCGCCTGAGATCCGTTTCTTTTCCCCAGCTGAAAGCTATGGGGTCGATAGGCCCAGATAGGCGGAGGGATTCGGTTCCGGGGTTTCGGAGTTGGGATACCACCAGGGCTCGACACCACATAAAGAGCAACAGTCAGCTAGCATACCCAACTGGGCAACAGGTAGCACACAATCAGGAAGATTTCTACCAGGAAATGGGTGAAAGATCCACAATAGAGCATGTGCTACCTTACCTGATTGTTACTGCCACCCTTTTGCGGGGTTTTAAGCAAGAACCAGCAGCCCCCCCTCCCTCCCCTCCCCTGCCCTGCCCTGCCCTCCCCTCTTTTGGGAGATTCACCCCTCCCGCAAACCGCCCCGACCCGCAATACCCGGCCGCGCCGCTTCCGTGGGCCGATGCGTGGAGCTCGGGGACCGATCGGCGCGGCTCCAGGCCTTCCCGGAGCAGCCCAGCCCCGAGATGCAGCGCTGCGACCTGGCGCAGAGCTGCTTGCAGGCGGTGGCCCTGGGCCGCGACCCCAGGCGCGGAGAGAGCGGGGCCGAGACCGCGGTTTGTGGCGGTGGGGGGTGGGGTGGGGGTTGGGCGCGGGTGGGGGGCAAAATTGGAAAAGGAAGGGGTTCATTTGCTGAAATGATGTTTTGTGTTGTTTTTTTCACTTTTGCGGTTTGGTTGTAAACTAGACTGGCTTGTTGTTGTTGTTTTTTTGCAGGGGGCTTAATCAAATGGAGGGCGGGGGTTGGGTAGTTTGTTCTTTATCATATTAGCCCCCTTATTTGTTTTCATGATTCATGTTTTCATGCTGGTTTCTCGTTTGGAACCATTTGGTGAAAAGCGTTCTATGATTGAAAGAGTTACGGCCTTCTGCTGGGGGTGTGGGGTGGGGTGAGGGGGGCGGGCTGGTTGTCCCGCCCGGGCAAGTTTTTGTTTTTTTGTGACAAGTTTTTGGAACTTCAAAGCAAGACTGCACCTTTTGAGGGTTGTGTATTTCCTCTAGAGACACCCAATGAGCAACGCGGGATTGCGAGGTGGTCAGGTTGGTTCTATTAGGTTGCGGTGATCCCCATCGGCTGGTGGTACTATTGTCGGCCACGCAAAGGTTAGACTCCCGGGCCGGGACAAAGAACGCGTTCTCGCCATTTGTTCCAGCCCGAGCTTAGCCTTTCAACTTTGATTTGTCGTAGTTGTGTGGTGCTGGACGCACTAAGACAAGTTGAACATGCTTTTAGCCCTTGGCAAAGGAGCTGCCCGACTCGACCACCTGTACAGGAAACCGAAAGGAAGCTCTGCGAGCAGCTGGGTGCTTCCCAAAGGCGTTGAACCCATGAAACAACTGCAGCCTCCCTGTTGTTTTTCATGTGACGAAAGCAAACATGGATCTTTTTTCGAATTCTAGAAAACCGTTGGGAGTCTCGTTACATGCTTCTAGGCCAAACATATTTCGACGGTCGCAGAAGGACCTAGTTTGCGACAAATAGACTCATGATGAGTTTGTGAAGCTTGGCTTGTGTCCCCTCTGCAACAACCTTTTATTTTACAACCCTCTCTCCAAGCTTGTGTCCCCTCTATGAAGGTTCTTGGAGTAGAGGCTCTTTCACATTCTCCGACGGTTGCCACTTTTTCGTTGTTCGAACTTCCAGACTCGGATGGGCCGCTCTTCCGGGGCCTCCGGCCAGGAAGTTCCTGGCAGACGCCATCGACGCGCCGTCCGTGAACGCCGTGGAGATGGCTATGGATCAGCTGGCGGCGATCAAGGTGGGGTGGGTGGGCTTGGGGTGGGCTTGGGGGTTGGGGTGGGCTTGGGCTTGGCGGGGGCTTGGGGTGGGTGGGGGAGGCTATCGGGGAAACTGCCCAAACCCTAGGCCACGGGACAAGGCTTGTTTGTTTCGGTGGGATTAAAGGTTGAAAGCCCCTCCCAAAAACATGAGTGTGGAAGCAACCGATCTTTTGAGGGGAATTTGCGTTGATAGGGACCGTTTGGCTTCGTGTCTTGCAGGACCCGGAAAAAAAAAAAAAACGGGTCGATTTTTTTGGTGCTTGCATGCCGGAAAATTGTCCAATGTCCTGTCGGGAAACGAGTGGGTCTGGCTTTTATAATGGAAGCCCCGTTCTGTTTGGTTTCAAGAAGAACAAACAAAGGCAAAGCAATAATGTTATTAAACAAAAAAGAACAACGGCATTTTAGGGGGTCGACTTAAGTAAAGGACAAGTCCAAGTCGTTTTGTCTGGGTCCTCAAATCGAGGGTCGCGAGCACGGCAAAACCGCAGGCCATCCGCCTGGACGAAGACCCCGAGGCTCCCGGCCAGGGAGGGCAGCGAGTCGATCGTCCGTTTCGAAGCGCCATGCGCCTTCCGTGCACCAACTGTTGGCCCCATATGAATCAGCCCCATTGTATTCGGTGTATTAGTAGGGTGCCTTTTTGGGTTTATCCAAACCGACCTTTGGACCAAAATGGTGTGGTCCATGTTTAGTGATCCCAATAGGTGAACCTTCTGCTTCCAGGTCCTCATTTATTGGGCTCGACGTTTAGTTTAACATCTTACCTTTTTGCCCTTGACTAACACGAGCAAAGACATATTCTTGATCCTACATTCCTGCACCACCTCAGAAACACTGGAACGATTCGATTCCCCAGCGTAATTCCCAACAAACCGTTATTTGTTCAACCATGGCTTCATTTCGCGGTTTTCAGGATTTCACCACCACCCACGGGTTGAACATTACCAAGATATGGGACCCCAGAAACGTCATTCACACCTCTGGGTTGTTCCCAAAACCTCAGTTCTCCAAAGCGAATCGACCTTTTCACCTTGCGCTTCTCGGTTCTCATCTTTTCCGGTTAAGGTCAACCAAAAGGTGATCTAACCTTTTATATTTCCAGGTCGTTTCAAGCGAGAAACACCCAGAACCCCAAAAATCAGCCCACTCCCAGGCGAACATGGAACTTCCCACGCCACTGTAAATGGAATCAAGTCTTCCGGGGTTTCTGGGAGCTTCCGGCTGTTCGCCTTGGGGGTAAACCCAGCCAACTCCGGCCGGGCGGAGCCCCAGACGACGAGACGAGCCGCGAGTGATGCGAGCCGCGAGGTGTGCCCGGTGCTGCTGGTGGTGGGGGAGGTCCTGGCACGGCTGCCCTTGGAGCCCCTGCTGGGCCGCGCGGCGATGCTGGGCTGCATCCTGGAGGTGCCCGAGGCGGGGTTCGCGGGTCGGGCGATCGGCGGGCGGGAGGAGCGGTTTTGGTCCAAGGAGTTGAGTGAAAAGACCTGTGGGGTGCGAGGCAAAAGTTGATGAAGACTTGTTTTTGTTTTGTTTTTTGTTTTTTTTGTGAGGGGGGGTGGGGTGGGGGCAAGAGTTGATTCAACCATTTTTGTCCGGGGGGGGGGGGGGGTAAGAGGGTAGAGTATGTATAATGTGTCGCGGGACCCTTTCCTGCATATATAGCGCAATTTCAGGCCCAATGCTGCTTAAATAAATCTTTTAAATATTTTAAATCCCCGGGTCCTGATTTCTGGAGCTGGGGCCGATTTAAAATTTTAAATAATTTAAATATTTTAAATATTTTAAATCCCCGGGTCCCTGATTCAAAATATTTACAATATTTAAACTGATTTGGGGCCCAAATATTGTAAATATTTTAAATATTTTAAATCCCCGGGTCCTGATTTCTGGAGCTGGGGCCGATAAAATTTTAAATAATTTAAATATTTTAAATATTTTAAATCTCCGGGCCCCGATTTAAAATATTTAAGCTGATTTGGGGCCTAAATATTCTAAATATTTTAAATACTTTAAATCACCGGGTCCTGATTTCTGGAGCTGGGGCCGATTTAAAATTTTAAATAATTTAAATATTTTAAATATCTTAAATATGTTAAATCCCCGGGCCCCCGATTTAAAATATTTAAAATATTCAAACTGATTTGGGGCCTAAATATGTTAAATATTTTATTTTTGTTTAAATCCCCGGGCCCCGATTTAAAATGTTTAAACTATTTAAGCTGATTTGGGGCCTAAATATTTTAAATATTTTAAATATTTTAAATCCCCGGGTCCTGATTTCTGGAGCTGGGCCCGAATTAAAATTTTAAATAATTTAGATATTTTAAATATTTTAAATATTTTAAATCCCCGGGTCCCTGATTTAAAATATTTAAAATATTTAAACTGATTTGGGGCCTAAATATTTTAAATATTTTAAATATTTTAAATCCCCGGGTCCTGATTCTGGAGCTGGGGCCGATTTAAAATTTTAAATAATTTAAATATTTTAAATATTTTAAATATTTTAAATCCCCGGGCCCCCAATTTCAAATAATTGAAATATTTAAACTGATTTGGGGCCCAAATATGTTAAATATTTTAAATATTTTAAATATTTTAAATCCCCGGGTCCTGATGTCTGGAGCTGGGGCCGATTTAAAATTTTAAATAGTTTAAGTATTTTAAATATTTTAAATATTTTAAATATTTTAAATCCCAGGGCCCCCGATTTAAACTATTTAAAATAATTAAACTGTTTTGGGGCCTAAATATTCTAAATATTTTAAATGTTTTAAATCCCAGGGCCCCGATTTAAAATATTTAAAATATTTAAGCTGATTTGGGGCCTAAATATTTTAAATATTTTAAATATTTTAAATCCCCGGGCCCCGATTTAAAATATTTAAAATATTTAAGCTGATTTGGGGCCTAAATATTTTAAATATTTTAAATCCCCGGGTCCTGATTTCTGGAGCTGGGGCCGATTTAAAATTTTAAATAATTTAAATATTTTTTAATATTTTAAATATTTTAAATCCCCGGGCCCCCGATTTAAAATATTTAAAATATTTAAACTGATTTGGGGCCTGAATACTTTAAATATTTTAAATATTTTAAATCCCGGGGCCCCGATTTAGAATATTTAACATATTTAAGCTGATTTGGGGCCTAAATATTTTAAATAGTTTAAATATTTTAAATCCCCGGGCCCCGATTTACAATATTTAAAATATTTAAAATAATTAAAATATTTAAAATTTTAAATCGGGCTCAGATCCTGGGTTCCCGGGATTTGAAATATTTAAAATATTTAAGCTGATTTGGGGCCTAAATATTCTAAATATTTCAAATATTTTAAATCCCCGGGCCGCGATTTAAAATATTTAAAATATTTAAGCTGATTTGGGGCCTAAATATTTTAAATATTTTAAATATTTTAAATCCCCGGGTCCTGATTTCTGGAGCTGGGGCCGATTTAAAATTTTAAATAATTTAAATATTTTAAATATTTTAAATATTTTAAATCCCCGCGCCCCCGATTTAAAATATTTAAAATATTTAAACTGATTTGGGGCCTAAATATTTTAAATATTTTAAATATTTTAAATCCCTGGGCCCCGATTTAAAATATTTAAAATATTTAAGCTGATTTGGGGCCTAAACATTTTAAATATTTTAAATAGTTTAAATCCCCGGGCCCCGATTTAAAATATTTGAAATATTTAAAAATATTTAAAATATTTAAAATTTTAAATCGGGCTCAGATCCTGGGTTCCCGGTATTTGAAATGTTTAAAATATTTAAGCTGATTTGGGGCCTAAATATTTTAAATATTTTAAATATTTTAAATCCCCGGGTCCTGATTTCTGGAGCTGGGGCCGATTTAAAATTTTAAATAATTTAAATATTTTAAGTATTTTAAATATTTTAAATCCCCGGGCCTCCGATTTAAAATATTTAAAATATTTAAACTGATTTGGGGCCTAAATATTTTAAATATTTTAAATATTTTAAATCCCTGGGCCCCGATTTAAAATATTTAAAATATTTAAGCTGATTTGGGGCCTAAACATTTAAAATATTTTAAATATTTTAAATCCCCGGGCCCCGATTTAAAATAGTTGAAATATTTAAAATATGTAAAATATTTATAATTTTAAATCGGGCTCAGATCCTGGGTTCCCGGTATTTGAAATGTTTAAAATATTTAAGCTGATTTGGGGCCTAAATATTCTAAATATTTTAAATATTTTAAATCCCCGGGCCCCGATTTAAAATATTTAAAATATTTAAGCTGATTTGGGGCCTAAATATTTTAAATATTTTAAATATTTTAAATCCCCGGGTCCTGATTTCTGGAGCTGGGGCCGATTTAAAATTTTAAATAATTTAAATATTTTAAATATTTTAAATATTTTAAATCCCCGGGCCCCCGATTTAAAATATTTAAAATATTTAAACTGATTTGGGGCCTGAATACTTTAAATATTTTAAATATTTTAAATCCCTGGGCCCCGATTTAAAATATTTAAAATATTTAAGCTGATTTGGGGCCTAAATATTTTAAATATTTTAAATATTTTAAATCCCCGGGCCCCGATTTAAAATATTTAAAATATTTCAATTAATTAAAATATTTAAAATTTTAAATCGGGCTCAGATCCTGGGTTCCCGGGAATTGAAATATTTAAAATATTTAAGCTGATTTGGGGCCTAAATATTCTAAATATTTTTTAAATATTTTAAATCCCCGGGCCCCGATTTAAAATATTTAAAATATTTAAGCTGATTTGGGGCCTAAATATTTTAAATATTTTAAATATTTTAAATCCCCGGGTCCTGATTTCTGGAGCTGGGGCCGATTTAAGATTTTCAACAATTTAAATATTTTAAATATTTTAAATATTTTAAATCCCCGGGCCCCCGATTTAAAATATTGAAAATATTTAAACTGATTCGGGGCCTAAATATTTTTAAATATTTTAAATATTTTAAATCCCCTGGCCCCGATTTAAAATAATTGAAATATTTAAAATAATTAAAATATTTAAAATTTTAAATCGGGCTCAGATCCTGGGTTCCCGGGATTTGAAATATTCAAAATATTTAAGCTGATTTGGGGCCTAACTATTCTAAATATTTTAAATATGTTAAATCCCCGGGCCCCCGATTTAAAATATTTAAAATATTTACGCTGATTTGGGGCCTAAATATTCTAAATAGTTTAAATATTTTAAATCCCCGGGCCCCGATTTAAAATATTTAAAATATTTAAGCTAATTTGGGGCCTAAATATTTTAAATATTTTAAATATTTTAAATCCCCTGGCCCCGATTTAAAATATTTAAAATATTCAAAATAATTAAAATATTTAAAATTTTAAATCGGGCTCAGATCCTGGGTTCCCGGGAATTGAAATATTTAAAATATTTAAGCTGATTTGGGGCCTAAATATTCTATATATTTTAAATATGTTAAATCCCCGGGCCCCGATTTAAAATATTCAAAATATTTAAGCTGATTTGGGGCCTAAATATTTTAAATATTTTAAATGTTTTAAATCCCCGGGCCCCGATTTAAAATATTTGAAATATTTAAGCTGATTTGGGGCCTACATATTTTAAATATTTTAAATATTTTAAATCCCTGGGCCCCGATTTAAAATATTTAAAATATTTAGGCTGATTTGGGGCCTAAATATTTTTTTTTTTTAATATTTTAAATCCCCGGGCCCCGATTTAAAATACTTAAAATATTTAAGCTGATTTGGGGCCTAAATATTTTAAATATGTTAAATCCCCGGGTCCCCGATTTAAAATATTTAAAATATTTAAGCTGATTTGGAAGACACTTAGAAAACTCGAGGGCCTTGTGTTCCTTTTTTTTCTTTCTATTTTTCCTAATTAATTTTGAAACATATAGAAGAAATAGGAAACCAATTGGGGCCCAGGATTGCGGGAAGTGGGTCCGGAGCTACAGGAAATATAAAAAACAAATTAAAAAGCAAGTCCCTCGAATTTATATTTTGTCTATTTGCTATTTTTCCTAATTAATTAGAAAACATAGAAAATAGAAAAAAAAAGGCCCTCGAATTTTCTATTTGTTCTAAGTTTCAAAATTAGTTAGAAAAAATTGAACAAATAGAAACACAAAAGGGGTCCAGGATTTCGGGAAGTGGGCCCGGGACTACAGGAATTAGAAAAAATAGAACAAATGCCCTGGAATTTTCTATGTCTTAGAAAAATCAGAAAAAGAAATGGACAACAAGGCCCTCGAATTTTCTATTTTTGTTAATTTTCCTAATTAATTAGAAACAATTAAAACAATTAGAAACAAGGCCCTCGAACTTTCCAGTTTTTCTAATTTTCCTATTTAATTAGAGCAATAAGACACACTTACAGAAAATCTAGAAAAACAATAGGGGCCCAGGA